ATTAAGGTAATATATTTTCTTAGAGAAATGTCATCATTTTGTTTCTTTTTTTTTTTGAAAAATATTTGTATTACATTTTAACTAAACATGGTGATTTGTAAAGATAGGTAAGATGCATCTTTTGCATCAGGAGCATATAGTTTCCAACAGATCACCTGAGAACATCACCAAGACACGTAAGTGAAACAAAAATATTAATGCAAGGTAATCCTCAGATATGTGCATTACAGTTAGAGTTGGAATAGGTATCCTAGACAACTGCTGTAGTGGAGAAAGGCGACCTAATAAATTTTTTTAGAGTTTTGTTCCTTGCAAGTTCATGTAGTACATATTCATTTCCTGTAATCTTCCTAGAGATAAAATGAACAACTGAAATGGTTATAAGGAACTTCCTTTATCGAGAAAGTGCAGTAGCAACTGTCTGTTGTACTGGATATTTTTAAAGTGTATTAAGTTTATTTTCAAAAAAGGAGGCACTTAATATGTTAGGTAGTTTTAAACAACGTGTGAAGCAATCAGTTACAGAGGTCACCAAAACGGTTCAGCGAATGCTACTTCAGAAGGCATTTGGCTGCTGTAGCTAAACAGTATGAGGTTGTTTTAATAACACCTTCCATACAGATTGTTCCTCACACTGTTTCTTGGTTTTAAATAATGTAATCACCTAACAGAAGAATAGGAAATTAAAGCTCTTTCCAAGTAGAAAGTATTCAAATGAAATTTAAAGAGAATTGAAAATTTAAAATTTGAAATGAAATGGTAGTCAATTAAGCAGACACCACGGGAAGGATGCTGAAAACTAGAAGCACTGAGGCAGTGTTTTGCAGAATACTGTACCACGATCCTCAGAGGCAAAGTTGTGTGAAGGGAATAAAGAAAAGTGCAATGATTAAGGCTGCAGTCCAGGAGAACTATTAATACTGGCTCAAATATAAATACAGGAGAAGCTTGGCTGATGTAATTGGAACCGTGTATGTACTCAAGTTTAAGTATGCACTTAAATATGATACTGAATTGGCACTCTAATTATCATTTATGAGCAGTGAGATTAATGTTGGTAAGCTGCCCTGGCCCCGATGCAGGACTTTGCATTTGTCTGTGTTGGGTTCCCTCTGAACAGCTGCTCGGTCTTCCAGTGCATCAGCTGCTTCTCCCAATGTGGTATCCTCTCCAGACTTGCTGAGGACACACTCTGCCCCATCAGTCCCAGCAGCGAGCCCTGAGGAATGCCCCTCATAGCTGGCCGCTGGGGAGGCTTTCCCCCGATTCGCTGCTACACTGGAAGCCTGACGGACCGGCCAGCTGTGCGCACGGCGCGCAGTCCGCCCGCCCCGTCCGAGTGTCCCCAGTTTAGCTGCAGGGGTCCTATGGGAGACTGTGTCAAAGGCCTTGCCAAAGGCAAAGGAAGCAACGTCCGCTCCTCTCCTCCGGGCCGCGGGGCCAGTCACTTCAGCCGAGGCGGCTAAGGAGTTGCTCAGGCACAGTTTGCCCTTAGTAAAGCCATGCCGGGTTTTCCCCGTCACCACCTTCTCCCTCCTGTCCCTGGGCGTGGCTTCCAGGAGGATTTGCTCCATAGCCTTCCCAGAGCTGGGAGGGAGGCTGACCAGCGTGTTAGCTCCCTGCACGCTGCTGTTGCGGTTCTGAAGAGGGATGTGACGTTTGCCATACTGCAGTCCTCAGGAGCCTCCCCCAATAGCCACGAACTTGGGAAGCCGACAGAGAGAGGCCTTGCAATGACGTCAGCCAGCTCCCTCAGTACTGTCGGATGCTTCTCACCTTGCCCCATAGTTCTGTGTATGTTGTATTTGCTTAACTCGTCCCTAGCTCAGTCCTCCCCTACTGCCATCCCCACACTGTTACTAGGCACAGAGGCCAGGAAGGCCTAAGAGCAGATCTTGCAAGCAAAGACATGACAAAGAAGGCACTGAGTTCCTCAGGACTTTGCATGTCCTTCATCACTGGCTTGTCCGTTCAGCAGCAGCAAGTCAGCATTTACTTTCTTCTTCTTTTAGCTGCCGTTGTGCCTATAGAAGCTTTTCTTGTTGCCCTTCATGTTCCTCCCCAATTTCAAACGCAGCCAAACTTTGACTCTCCTCTTTCCAGCTCTGCAGGCCTAGGTGGTGCTTCTATATTTCTTTTGGGTAGCCTGGCTCTATTTTTGCCTCGCTTACACTTTTTGTGTTTGAGCTTGGCCAGGCATTCCCTGTTCAGCCATTTTGTCGTCTTGCCAGGCCTGCTTATTTTCCTACCCATTGGAATGGACCGTTCCTGTGCTTTGAGGAGCCCGTCCCTGAAGATCAACCATCTCTCCTGGGCTTCTTGGCTCAGAGGCAGCTGTCCACGAGTTCGTGTGTGTCCCGTGAACAAGCTGAAGTTTGTTCTCCTGTAGTCCAGTGTCTTGTATTACGCCATGGTCTTCCTCACTTTCCTCAGGTTCTTAAATTCTGCCATCTGATGGTCACATCAACTGCGATTGCCGTCGACTATCAGCTCCCTGAGCAAATTTTTTGTATTTATGAATAGCAGATCCAGGAAAGCATCTCTCCGGCTGGGTCATCCAGCACTGCTGTCCAAAAAATTGCCCACAGCAAACTTCAGTGTTCATGGCTCTGAGAATTGGCGATATTGTAGGTTGGAGGCAGGCTGCAATGGTAACTGTAAGTGCTGATAGCTTTAACTAACACCTTCTCTGCCCCGAGATGCTGCTTTTTTAGCCCTTGGTATATTGAACTGTGCCTGTGAACAATGGCTGAAATGAGATGTCCTGCCCTGGGTAGTGTCTTGGGCTGTAGGGGCCCTCTTGAGTTTGGAACAAGAGCTAAAATCTGACCCATGTTTGTAAGAAATCTGACTAAAGGGACCTAAGAATAGTATAGATTTTGCAGTAAATGTGAAATTAATGGTGTGGTCCAGCGGTCGGGGTGAGGGGATTTTGGAGAACACTTAATGGTGATCTGTGGCTATTACTGTGTAGAAAAGTTAGTTAAGAAGGAAGGCGTTCTTGACTACCCTCTTTCTGTGATTTGTGTTTTCAGTGTCAAAGCCTGCATGTTCCGGGCTCTGGAAGTCGTACAGAGTCCTCTAAAGATACAGTTATTGAAGTGAAAAGTTTTAATTTTAGTATCAAAGCAAGGAGAAACATTTAATTGAAATGTAACTAAATTGCTAATTGTATTTATGCTGGTACTTGTGAGGGAGTGAAATTTTCCCAGCTGACACTGTAGGCAGTATCGGCGCCCAGAGAAGAAACCTTGGGTGAGCGTTTGGGGAGAGGTGGAAGAACAGTGGAAGGGTTCTGGGTGCACGGACAAGTGGGAAGGGAAGAATTCGTAAAGCACCTCACTGGTGTCCAACATAGCAGAGAAAACGGAGTTGGGCCTCCTTCGTGGTCGTTGCCAGTCCCAAGAAATACATGCTTATCTTTGTGGTATTCTATAGAGGATTGTTTCATATGAAACAATGAATTGTTTCATAGTTCTATCCGCATGCTTTTGTTGCGTTGTGCAAGTCTGATTAAAGCAAATGTTTTATTCATTGTCAATAGTTGCCTAAGAAACAGAAACGGAAAATCAGAGTTCTGCTAAGTCAAGACCTACATGTGGGATGGTTCTTTGGTTGACAATGTTTTTTTAAAAATTAAAAACAAACTGTTCTTCATGATAGGTTATTCAAATGACTTCTGTTTCAAACAGTGTTTTTGTATGTGGTTTCTTCCTTGTTTATCATGACACAAGTTCGTATATTCTAGCAGTACTTTAGGTGGAGATGCTCTGGCTCTCCAACAACAGCTGTACTTGTCCTGAACTTCTTTTTTTGGAATATGTGAGCCACTTTAGTTCCATAATTAATGATCAAATAAGTGTATTTGGCAGCCTAGACTCCAGTGTGGAAAATGTCATCATGTGGTTTAAGTTTGATAAATGGTTAAGAATCTACTTCATATGAAAAAATCAGGGTAACCCGAAGTATAAGCGTTACCAGTTGTGCTTCCTGTAATACTCGATGGTAACTGGGGCCCCGCTGCTCAGAATATTACTGTTAGATTTACTGCAGGGTCGGAGAGATTGCTTTAATAGGATTTGGAGAACAGCTATTTGTATGTCACAGCTTTTGCTCTTAGCTTGCCAGCCGTTTCATGCAGTAATCCTAGAGATTTAGCCTAGCTTTAAAATGGTGACACAGGAAGACGTACATGACTTAACACCACAATAAAGTCTGTAAAGTCTTCATGTAGCATGAAGCAAGAGTTTTCTATGCTTGTTAGTATCTTTTCAAAATGTTGTAGTGTGTATGTCATGAGAAGGAGGGAAAACATGGACGGAAAGAAAATACTGACATTAGTGGAAGAGAGGAAAAATCCTCTATTTCCTCTGCCACGTGAAGTTTGTTAGCACAGCTTCCCATTGGCAGCAGTAGAACTCAACCAGTTCAGAAAACAGTTATTATGTGAACTGACTTCAATTTTCGATTGCACAACCTGGATAAGTTTGCACTCCTTTAATGAATTCTGTGTATTCCCTCTGCCTTTTTTATGATTGAGAAAAGTATAAATTAATTCTGCGTGTTAATGAAATAAAGTAGAAAATTGGGTCTGGATGTGCTTTTGAATAAATAGTATGAGTTTTTATTCATAAATGTTTGATACCACATCTGGTTTATGAAGAAATGAAACAGTATTTGCCACTGGTATGTCCTCTTAGGATTCCAGGTCATATTTTATCCTCAGTTTTCACCCTTCCCTTTCCCTTGCCACTTCCATTACAGTGGAGATTTGGTCTGCTTGCTCTACAGTGATGTGTCCTTTAATATTTCCCATTAGTTTTCAGTAGTTACCTTTGCCTGCATGTCAGCCTTCAGTTTAATGGCCTTTTTTGTGTGTTCATTTTGTTTTGTTTCCCATCGTGGTTTTGTTTATTTCTTTTGTTTTTTTTCCCTGTTTTCTTTTTTTAAACCGTGGTGATGTTTGCCCTTCATATTCCCCAATGTTTGCACATGACAAGATGTTGCCATCCCAACATTACCTCCCACTTCACTGACCAGTGCCACTAATGACCATCTAGCACCAGCAACAACTGGACCATTGCCTTCAGCCCCTCGAGATGTTGTGGCCACCCTCGTCTCCACTCGCTTCATCAGACTGACGTGGCGGACGCCTGTATCAGACCCACAAGGAGACAACCTCACCTATTCAATCTTCTACACCAAGGAAGGTATAAGCAGGTAAAGATCTATACATGCGAAATGGGTTGTTCTCGTTCATGACTCTTCTTCATGCTAGCTGTGTGTAGAAGGACTATTAAGCTTTAGCCTTTAATGCCCAAAATGTTAAGGGCTGTAGAGACTGAGGAGCAATTGTGTTGTGTTCCCTTCCCTCCTGCCACCCTGTTCCTGGAAATGATTAGAGGAAATTAATTTTTAATAAATTCATTGCTACTGTGTGTGTGTATATATATATATGTATGTATGTATGTATGTATGTATGTCTGATTCACAGAAAATATTGTAGAAGAGTAAGCTTGAATAGTTTGATCTGAAAACGTTCTTGTGGGCACTGTTTGTGCCTGTTTTTGATTGACTGCAAACAGTTGCTACCTGCTTTTAGCAGACTGCTTAGAAACTAAAAGCATTCATAGACTGTAACACCTCTTCAGGAATACTGACACTGCTATAAACGCCATCTACCATAGGCACATAAACAGCCGCCAGATAATACACATGCTGTTTGAAATAGAGCAGTCACTTCATGCTTTAAAACCACTTAGACGTAGTGTAATCCTAGAGAGAGCCTTGTGGCGGGGGCTGGTAACTGTTGATTCTCCCTTAGTAATTGCTGCAAGTAGAAACTTCATGCATGTGAGGCGTTCATGAATTTTGACATACTATCCCAATGCTTTAATGCAGTCTACCCATTTTTCCTACTGATAGGATCAACTGCTCGGAATTACGATATCAAATTGTTGCAATAAGGCCAAACTCCTTGGATGGAGAAGTTGGAGCGAACAATCATTTTAAACAGTGCTTAATTGATTGCAAATTAGTTTGATTATCAGATTTGTTGCTCACCAGGAAATTATCTGTCTACTCAGTGACTAGATCATAAAATGCAAAGTTAAGAAAGTTTTTGGTAAAAAATATAAAACACACTACTATTTGTGGTGAATTTCCAAAGGTTTTTTTATTCTGTGGATGGACATCTTGTCCAGGTTCATGCATGGCAACTAACAGAGGCAAGTAGTAAATTTTTTTGTGCCTCACAAATGTGCTTTGCTTCCTTGTTTTGGTAGTATTCATTCCTACTAGAGGTATTTTAAGTGAGACAGGAAAAATGGAAATGTCCTGCTAGCTGTTCTTACATCCTGCCTTTCCTCCTCCAAATTTTTGGTTGCAGCTGCTCCACCAGCTGGCTCTTTAGGAAGTAATTTGCTGGAGATGGCTTCATGCCTCTCCCTAATCGGGGTCTTGCTTTTGCAGGGGGGAAGTGCATCCCCTTCTGCTACATAAGAGACTGTAGAAATCTGGACAATATTCCTGTTGCCAGAAGCATTGTACAGAATATAGGGCAAGAGACATCCCATAGTTGGTGGTGAATAAATTAGGAAAGAAATTACAGGACAATCTGCTGAAAGTGCTGTTTCCACTTCTTGCAAAGCAGTCCTCCAGGGTTCAGTTAACGCAGTCTGCAGAGAGTTTACACAGCAGGGTACTTAAGCAGGTGCTTATGTGTAAGCAGGTGGTTTCATTGACTTAGTGAGATCTTTGCTTCAGTGTTCTTCTGGATCGAGGTTCAAAGTAGGATCCGGAAGCCTTTTATTAGCACATATATTCATTATTTTTTAACCTCTGCCGCTACTCTGTCTTTTTGTAAGTTTTAGGAATCTTTATGCCTAATAAAGATGGCAGTATCCCACATTTCACAGATTGGTATGCAAACACTGTGAAATCCTGACATTAAGCCTGGATTTAGAGAATGAGAATAATAAATTAAATTAGTTGGGAGCAAGTAGTTTGAAGGACTTGGCCATCCGCTTGTGTCAGTGCTCTCCACTTTCTCATTGAAGAGAAGTATGGATGCTGTTTGCTTCATCTTATTCATATTAGATATGACCTGATGGTCCCGACAGCCTGCCAGTGTCCGTTGATTAGGGGATGAATTTTGGTGCCATTAAGCTGGATTAAGCGATGAGTAAAATGCATTGTGTATGATAGGAGAACAGTAGTTAAAATTGAACCGAGTATTCCCTTCTACCTGGAAGGTCAGAAATAACTCATGTAATCGAATTTCGGGTGATGTTTAAAGGTAAGGCTCGAGTGAATTCAGGTCCTGAACGTATTTGAAGGGGCACTAACCTCGCCTGCCTCCCCAAACCCAGCTGATTTTTAAAAGGGACAAAAGCTGAGGTGGTGAACTTGGTAGAGGTTTACTGTTTTTAGCGGTAAAGAAAGGACGGAGATCTGCAGAAGGTTTTTGGCCCTGTAATATTGTCTCCTCCCTTATTTCTAGGCACTTTTGATGAAAGTCAGCAAAAATCTCTGATGAGTAGGATGCTGGCCTCCATTGAATTTTTCTGATGACTCTTTGTAATTCCTAGTCCTAAAGTGATTTCTCTGCAATCAATAAATTGCCTAACCTTTGCAATGAAGAGTCTAAAATTCCCTATTCTTACTTAGTTTCCTGTATCAGCTTGTTGGAGAGGGGGTGTTTGTGCATGGGTGGGTGGGTGGAGCTGATTTACAGTTGCATTTAAGTTTTTTTTTTTTTTTTAATTTTTTTAAGGAAGGGGCACAAAAAAAAAGTGGAGCTGATTTACAGTTGCATTTAAGTTTTTTTTTTTTTTTTAATTCTTTTAAGGAAGAGGCACAGAAACACAGGTAACTAATTGTGTAGAGATTAAATAAATGTGGATAGAATTTGTACTTGAAATTTAAAGGCACAGTGACAGTAAATAATAGCATAAAAGAAGAGACAAGTGATTAGTCTATCAACGCACGTTCTGGTTAGCTTGTGGACGTTAAGTGGTACTTTTTGACTAGTTGCTTGGCCTTGTGAAAGAGTTGCTTAGTTATTGAGTAAAAAAATAGGTGAAGATGTCATACATAACCAAGCCGTCAGGAGTCAGACAATTTCAAAGTTAAGTTTGGATGGGCAACCGTCCTTTCTTTCCTAGCCTTATAAAACGCTACTTAAATGCTGCTCTGTAGTCCTTGAATAATACATGATCACGCATATTTGCTGTGGTCTTAAGTGCCTATGTATCATCTCGTCATACTATTATATTTTTGCCTACGTGTCTCATTTTTGTTGCCTGCGTTACTGGATCCTTTTAGTAACCGGAACATTGTTTCTTCTTTACTCATATTTGGGCAGTGATCAGACTAGGTATTTACTTGCCTCTAATTGGACTTTTAAAAAAATGAAAGAAGAGGAACAATTCTGTAATGCGGAACGGCCTAGCTAGATATCCCGATATCCACTAATACATCTTAAAAGGGCTTCAGAGAGTCATTTTTATATTGAGAATTGTAATAGCATTTACATCTCTCTGTAGTCTCCGAGCTGCGCAGTTCAGGAGAGGCTGGTTCCAGCAGAGACGTTGCCTCAGCCACTGTTGATTTCCATTCATTGTATTTTTATTTGTTCAGGCAAATGAGATACACACAGAAACATGGCAAGGTGTTCCTTAACTTTGCACTTTGAACTTATTCAGAGGGCTACAAAGTGTTCCTGACTGGCGCATGTTTTTTTTTCCCCTCCTGGACTATTCAGGCACTGCTGCTAAAGGCTGCTCCCGTGCCACACGGCAGCTTTCGGCCTCCGACTGCTTCAGCTGCCAGAACTGTTCAGAAGGAGATCCCCTTCGGGCCTCTTCTCCTCTCCCAGGAAAATTGTGTGTTTCACATTTTAAACGCCTTCTCTGCCTGGGGAAAAATTTTAGGCCTCTAAGTTGAATATTATGGAAAATTGTAAGCAACTGAAAGTAGGGAATTACCGCAGAAAATGCCAGCGCTGCCAAAATTGCGATGGTGGCTTTTATCACTCCTGAAATAACTGAAGCTGGATTTTGACTATATTTACAGTCTGCAGAGTTCCCAAGTCCCTCTGATCCAATACTCTGGTGAATCCTGGGAAGCTGCCAGTTACTCTAGCAGAGCAGCTCGAGGCGGCAAGCGGTGGAGGAGGAGGTGCAGCGGGGAATTGGCTGTGCGTTGAGAGAGGAGCTGTCCGGGAGCAGTGAGCCGCGGTCAGAGGCAGCAAGGTCCATCTAATGTTGTGCAGGACTTGGAGGTTACTCTTTAAAACAGAGAACTAAAGCTATCCATAGAAGAGGAGCTTCTCAAAGGGTGGAAATCAGCCGTGGTGGTAGCACAGGCCAGTTTCTTTGGGCTTATTTCCCTGACTACGTAATGGGAAACCAGCTGGTGATGCTCTTCAAACCATGCATGTCTTCATCCAGTACCTATAGCCTGAGTACCTAAGAGATGTGCTTTTACTGAAAGAATCGCATGAGAAGTTAGGGACCATCCCATGAGTTTACTGCTGTATTTCCAGAAGGATTCAAGTCATTTGTTCAGGTAGCAAACGCAGATTGTATAGTCATGTAGTTACCTTCATCCTTTCGTTCAATATTCCACATTCAAGACAGCTCCCCTGAAAAGTGTCTGATACTTCAGATGCATTTGGTTCTGGGAAACTTTAGATGAACACTCAGGCATAAGAACTTTCAGTCTTAAAAGATTTGAAAATGAAATAGCTAACAGAACTGATATGAGATGGTAAATTATGTGTGATATATTCAAATACTATTAAACCTACAGTTCAGCTTAATATGCCTCAAACAGAAAATGGAATTTAATCCTGTGTAATCACACTATCAAAATGTCTGTTTGAGTTCACTGCCTGGCTTTACAAGGGATGAGACAGCATTGACATGGCTGACACAAACGATCTTCACTTTTTAGTACTTCCCTGAAGGTTTCTTTTTTATAAGCGTGACTTAAAACTGCGAGTTTCCAGATGAACGCTTGTTTCTGTTCTCAAACTGCATATTCCTGTAGTTTTTTTTCCCTTAAGTACTTGATAGCTGTTTTAAACCTTAATGCTGGTTTACAGAGCTTTCTAACTGGGGATTAAGCTGGAATGAGTTAGAATAGCCGTAACGTTGTGTCGGGTGGTAGAGCTATTCATACAGAACATCTGGTGCGTTACCTATTGCGCCTACCTAAACACATCAGAGCTCGTCGACGGTGCTCAAGGCTCCCTAAGAAAGAGCATAAATGAGAGATTCATGCGGTACTTAATTAGATTAATCTCAACGTGTCTTTAACATACTGTTGGGATGGAAGGCCCAGCTCCCAGTTATTAGTGAAAATTGCAACACTTTGGCGTTTCTGTGAGTGTTGATAAATGTTGTCTTTCCATTAAAATAATTTGGGCTTTTCTTTGTAGTTTTAAATGATAACCTCGAATTGCTGATTTTTGCTAGATAAAATCAGTGAGTGCATTTCCACTTGAGGTATCAAATGCAGAATATTTTGCATGTCAATGAGAGATGAATGTTGTTCCACAGCTGTGAATCAGTTGGCACTTATTTTGGGTTTTCAAAAACCAGTCGTTATAGCTGAGATGCATCTTAAAGGAAACTAAGCCAGCTGCAAAGGCATTTTCAACCAGACATATTGCACTTGCTATAACTGGGAAAGTTAGTGCGGGAAAATATTTAATCTTTTCCCCTGCGCCCCTGTTGTGTTCTGTAGTGAGTACGATGTTTCTTTAGCGTGTCTCTTGCTTCTCTTCTTTCTTACAGAAAATACTTTATAAACATGAGAAGAAGAGAAATCTTTTGTAGGCATTTTTAATTCCAAATATACAATAAGGATGGTGTTCATTCAAAGGTGGAAGTTAATTTATTTCACTTGTTTTGCTTTTTTAAGCTGTTTATGTGGTGCCATTTTAGCTCAACTTTCATGAAGGAGACTACGCTGGAGAAATGTGCTGAAACAGATTTTTAGTTACGGTTAGCATATTGTTTCCCTCTGTGTATGGATACACTGTAGAAATGAACACAGCTTCTGAAATGTTTTAAACCAAGTTATGCTAAACCAACCTCATTAGTTGATGTACAAAGAAATAAATTAAAAATTGGGATTTTAGCATCTTATTTCCATAATTTAAACCGCCCCTTAATGCCTGGAGGGTTTGCGACGTAATTTTGCCGAGGCTTCTGCACTAGAAATGATTGAAGAGCAGCTCATCGTTGGACTGAGAGTCGTCTGCCCTCTGCTGTAGAGCTAGCTAAAGTCTGCCAGGTGAAAGGGAAAGGATTTAATTCGTATCATTCACATTTTCCTTTTATTTACTCAGTGGGAAGGTTTTTGATGACTTCCCTTGTGATACTGTTTGTGTTTCCAGTGACAAAGTAGCTAGTTTGCTTTCAAGAAAAAGGACGGTATGCCAATGTCCTTACCCAAATTCAGCCGTGTGAAAGTTCACATGACAAAAACAACGTGTGGGAAATAAAGGCTGGAGTTAGTTGATGATTAATCTCTTAATCTTCATCTCAGTGCTAAGGGAGATAAGAAACGACCAAGCGTCCTGAACTGCGTTCAGGGCAAGACCGTGCTTTCACATCGGCTCAAACAGCGTATTTCTCCCCTGATCGGTAGCTACAATTGAGGCTTACTAAAAGTAGGGCAATAATCTTTCCGATCGCCTAATATTCGGATATACAAAGCGTCCTCTCCCAACTGGATCATGGCTTTTAAAAGCTTGCTAAATGCCTGCCTTTTCCCGAGTCTAAAATGAAGGTCGTTACCACACATCGCACTGTTTCTTAGGGCTCGGGCAGGCGAGCTGGTGCGTCCGGTGGACCACAGGTGTCTCCTGTGAGTCGCTAGAGGTGGGCGTCTTCGGAGCAGGACTGACCAAAGCCCTTCCCCCGGGCCCTCGTTGCCCGCCAACGACGCGGGTTTAAACCCCAAGGACGGCCGGTCTCTGCTAACGCGTCGGGCTGGGCTGCCGCCCTTGCTCCGTGGGCAGACGTTGCCTTTTGTGGCCTCCACGACTTGTGTGGTAACGTCGTAAATGCCACAGCTGTTTGCCGGCATTGTTTGAGTCAGAGCCTTGGGATGTTTTAAAAAAATCCAAATATTAGGGAGGAACTAAATAAAGGTTGGAGGAAAAAAACAGCTCCTTTGAAAAGTGCACAAAAAGCAGCCCGGCGATATTAACAAAAATGCCTTAAATCTAGCCAGACAACGTCTCTGGTTCTTAAATATTTTTTCTTTCTGGCTTCAGAGCAGCGGGAGAAACTGTCACTGTGAATTACTGTGTACTGTTACGAGAATAACAGTGAAACTACTTATGTCTTCGTGATGTTAAGTGTAACCTACTCGTTTACTTTAGTGCGTATTTCTTCAAAGCAAAGTTGCAAAATCAGAAGCTATTTGTCACCAGCAATTTTGGCAGATTATCATTATTGTATAATTGGCGGGATCCAATTAAGCATGTCATTCACACGTTAGATATATTCAAACAGGATACATGCTAGCTTCGTTCCCAGTATGAGCTATTCTTTTATTCCCCCAAACCCGAATCCTCTTGCTAATCAACGATCCTTTCCACGCCCAAACCTTTGGTTTCCTAAAGGGAACGTGTCGAAAATACAAGTCGTCCGGGAGAGATGCAAGTGACGATCCAAAACCTGATGCCAGAAACAGTTTATGTCTTTAGAGTTGTGGCTCAAAATAAACATGGCCCCGGCGAGAGCTCAGTACCCCTGAAGGTGGCAACTCAGCCTGAGGGTAAGCGGTAAATGTTTCTAGTCGTCTTGACTTTGTGAGAGATTTTCTTTTCTCCGTTAGTGACCTTTTTTCCAGAATAAGTTGATACTCTTTACCAGTAGCGCTCGCAGACCGTGCTAGTAAAGTTTCAAAATGATTTTCCAGGTTACCCTCTTGGTAAGCTTGCGTGATTTATTCTGGAAACAAAGTATGAGAATCTTTTAAAAGATGCTTTGCAATATTAATATTTCTACTTATGTTTGTACTGCAACTCAGATGGCTCTAATATTTCCAGATTAAAATGTGTTTAATTTAAAGTTAAAGCCAATGTAATGTAAGTTTTAAAACAGGAAAGGTTATTTAGTCATTGTTTAAGAACTAGGTATTATAAGCCCCCCCCCCCCACGCAGGCTTAAGCTCAAGCACGCCACAGTTAAAGAAAAACACAGGGTAATCATTCAAGCATATATTTCACCTTACCATGGTGGCCCACACTACTGTACAGATACTTGTAATATATGTTTGCAGTTCTAGATTAGCTGATTCAGGAAAGCATCTTAGAAGTTCCATGTTCCCCCTCCTTACGTCACAGCTGGTGACTTGGTAAGGTAAAGCTCCTTGCATCTGTTACCAGTGTGTGATACTTGAGCATCATCTGTGGCGGTGGTATCTCACTCTTAAGGACTCCTGATAGGGCGCTCCTTGACAGATTCTCTAAACTTTCTGTTGTAAAAGGAACGCTTTTAGTTGTCATCAATCAGAAAAAGAAGAAAAGAAAAACTTGAACCAAGTGAGTTGTTCATGTTCTGTTAAGATCACTGAGGACAAAATAAAAGTCTGACCCAGGGAGCTGAATCTTTTGATGTCCTCTTTGGGAAATTTGGGTCCACCTTTTCCCACCTAATGTATCCATGTGAAACACTGACATGGGAACAAATACCCTTCTTCTTGCTGATTACTCGTGTGAAGTTGACTCCAAATGTTTAGCAACACAAAATGCAATGGTTAGGTTTGGTGACCAGCGTAGTTTCGTGCTTGCGTTTCAGTTCAGCTTCCTGGTCCAGCACCCAATATTCGAGCGTATGCCAGTTCACCCACTTCAGTTACCGTGACATGGGAAACGCCGTTGTCTGGCAATGGAGAAATCCAGAACTACAAGCTCTATTACATGGAGAAGGGACAGGACAATGAACAGGTACCAAACTTAGCTCTTTCCGTGTGATATGTAATGCCAGTAACAGTGATTCTTCCTTGACAGTATTTTTACCTTAAATTTCTAGAAGGGGCTTGCCAAGCATTCATTCTTCTGACAGGCCGAATCCTGTAGCACAAATATTTAAAATTTAAAAGTCCAATTGCCAACTGAGAAATAATCATAACTTTGGGATAATTAATCCCAGGCTCCTAATTTTGCATCCAATTGTGCATGAATATTATTCCAGCTTTTCAGAAAAAAAAAAGCTGAGGGAAGCTTTTTTGCTTCTCAGATATTTTTGTTAACGCTTGAAAAAATTTTGCCATCACTTTTTGAAATAGGAATATGTTGTATTTCTCAGGTAGATTCTGCATCCCACCATTCAAATATAATATCAGTTTTTACTAATAGGCAACTTTGCAAGATCCCTTTTCACTTACAGACCCTGTGTCCGTGTTATGATTTAAATCACACAGGTAGAACTTTTATTTCGCAAGCCCAACGTTATTCTCTTTACAAGTCCTGGCTGCATATAACGTGTGCATATCAACTGCACACGCTACAAAATGGTCTCAGTCCTGCTGCTAAACTGAAAATCTAAAACCATAATCATAGTTGCAGACCTGATTCTGCCCTTGACTTGTATGCATGTTTATTTATGAACAGGATGTTGATGTAGGAGGCCTCTCCTATACCATTAATGGGCTGAAGAAATACACAGAGTATAGTTTCCGAGTGGTAGCCTACAATAAACATGGCCCTGGAGTCTCTACCCAAGATGTTGTTGTACGAACACTGTCAGACGGTAAGCTGCTTTATTCTGATTTTTTTACAGGATTCATGTGGTTACTTCTTTTAAGTGGATTCTTAACCAGAAAGACTTGGAAATTTTTTGTTCAGCGTTGCCCTGTTTCATTAATAGTGTGGTTGCTGCATACGTCTGTGCATGCTGACAGTTCCCCTTGAGGCTTTCTGAATTGAGTGAAGGAAAATTGCCATACCTGCCAAAGTATCTGCTGTTCTGTGAATGGAACAACAATGTCCTTAATTTCAACAGCTGTAGTATATTTCATGGGTTATTGTCTCCACAAAACAGTGGACAGAAACAAAATTATATTGAACCAACAACTCCAAAATATTTTCTAGCCTCTATAGTATTTTTACATATAAGCAGACTTTTATCTTTGGAGTATTTTTATTTTGATTGACTGCAGTTGTATGGGAAAGTGTGTATTTTTGTTTGGACTCCAGCACAGATATTATTAAGTCAGTTGTATAGAATACTGAAAGCAGGAAGTGGTAACAGCATTTTCTGTAAGCTGAATGAAAGGGTAATGTGAGCAAATATGCATATATGAACAATTGCAGAATGACCGGAGTTAACATTAATATAAAAGTTGAAATATAGATAAGAACAGTCAGACCAAAAATCAGCCTAGCCTGGAATCCTGTCTCCGTGAGTGACCGAAACCAGATGTAACGAGAAGCAGGATGCTTTTAAAAACAGAGGTGGAGGGTAACAAAATTGCATTAAAGATGCAAGTCTGTAATTCCTATTTGACTGGCTTTTTTGGCTCATTCTGATCGCTGCGGTGACTTTTTGGGGGAAGAGTGGTCTTACTCCTCCGTGACAGTCATCTGCTTAGAGGCCTGATTTTGTGTGTGGAGTTAGGACCTTTGTTTCCATCTGTATAACTTTACCTTGAGTTTCATCTGCCCCTTTAACATCCGAGCGCTAAATCTCCTGAGGTCTTTCTGCAGTTCTTTGCAGTCAGATCTTGTCGGTACTATCCAGCGAAGCTTGTCACCTCACTGTTCATTCCCTTTTCATCACTTCATGATGTGTTGAATAAGGGTCTCAGCACATTTCACTGTGAAACTCCACCCATCATTTCCCACCACATACGCTCCCTATCTTCTCTTTCCTTTCTTTTAACGGTTATTTATTCAGGCGAGAACTTGCCTCCTATCCCATAGTTGCTTAAGGTCTTGAAAGAACTCCTCCAAAGGCAGGTCCCTGAGGACTTCTCTTCAGAAAAATGACATTGTCTCGTGGCAAACATGTCATATTTGTCCATGTATTTATGGTATTTATGAATGCCATGCTTTATTATAGCTGCAGTTTATTTGTCCAATATGGGTGTCTGGCTTACTACCTGAGGTTTCTAGTGTTTTCACCCACAGAACTCCTTTCAAAAATTGGCATCTCCCAATCCTTGGGTATCAGGATACCTTTAAGTGAGAGGTTATACCCTACCGTTAGTACTGCAGCTGTTTCATTCCCAGTTCCCTTAGAACTCTTGGGTGAATAGCAGCAAATCCGGGCAATGTGCTCGTCGCCATTATGTCTGACTCTTCCATAATCGCTTCTATTGACATTTCCGTTTGAGAGCTCCTGTAAATCCCTTATAAGGGATGTCACGGAAACCTCTTCTCTTCCTTCCAGTCGGTTCAAATGCAAAAAGGTTAGTTTGGATGGCCCTTTCTTCTTCTTCTGTCCTACCCTGATCATCTGCTAACTCTGCATATTCTCTGAAGGGTTTCCTGTTCCTTATTTGTTGAAGAAAAATGTATTACCGGTTTAGATGTCACTTGCAAGTTGTTCCTTAAATTCTTTTTGGCCTGAGTTACGTTTCTGCATTTAACCTGTCAGAATTTATTTTCTGCATACGATAGGCCTTCAGCTTTCTGAAGGATGTCGTGTTGCTTCTAACAGTCTTATGACCCTGCTGCTTAATCTTGCTGTTCTGCTTCTACAATTTCTCAAATCTTTTTGGATGAATTTCCATCTTGTGTTTTCTTAATTGTAGTGTCTATAGGCAATTTCCATGCCTCCTGCAAAGATTTTGTTTTTAGCTGCTCCTTTTAGTGTCTTTTTAACAAACTCCCCCATTTTTATGTAGGTTGTTGCTCTTAATCTACGTACATTATGGTGGTTTGTTGCAGAAGAGCTCTTCATTTTGAACCAGGGGCTTATGTGCTGCTCATTGCCAAGCATTGCTTCTCTTCTTATGGTCTTCTTGATCTTTAGGCAGTAATCATTTATCATAATTAGAAGCGTAATCTCTGCATTGCACCCTGATGAAGGCCGTTTCCCTTACTGTCGTGTCCTTACAGTCTCTCTGAACGCCATCAGCATGTCATGGTCCTTCTGATTGTATAGCTGCTCTGTAAACATGCAAACATATGCTCTATCTTTGCTATCTAAGCATGGAATATCCACCCATAAGAAATCCCTTCTATTTGTGTTCTTGCTTTTTAAAGGTTGTAGCACTTAATCCTTACCTGTGGTGATCGCAGACTCGGATCGGCTGGCAAGAGAGAAGGAAAAATACATTCTCGTAATCTCTTCACTTCTATTGTGTGATAGTGGGAGAGGAATATTTAACCAGTCCCTGGTGTACGTTTCAGTTATCACAGGGCTGCTTTCAATTCATGCATTCAAGAAGGGCTTCTTAGGTATTGCTCCGACTGGTGAGAGTCATTCGGAGAACGGAATATGGTGGCCAGAACAATCTCCAGCCCTGTTGTGCTGCTTCCTTGGGCTTTTGTTTTTGCTAGAGCCCCACCTTCTTGTCAGGGAACTCCCTGTCTATGCCTTGGAGATAAAATTTGGTGAGTCTTTTCACCACTGCAGTGCTGCAGCAAGGGTTTCCTGGGTCTCAGGTTCTCTCTTAAATAGCCTTTCTGTCTAATGGACTTTTAATGTCCTGACGAGCAAGCTGCTACTGCTAACTACAGAATTAACAGATAGCGGAGATTTAAGAGCAAGAACTGTCATGATATAAAAAGCATGACTAGAATCTTAAATGTGGATTCCCAGAATCAAGGATCTAAATGAAAGTCTTGAATTTGAAAAGTACTGACCATGATCTCTCTTGCTAGAGTTAATGAGAAGTGTGATGCTTCGTATCTTTAAGTAGGGGACTTTTTTTATTTAGGTACCTGTGGTAAGAAGGAGCCTGAATAAAACGTAAATTCATTCTTTGTGATGAAAATAGGTCAACCTCCTCAGCTGACCAGTCGTAAAATGTATGTCGTAAAATACTCCTGGTAGAATTTTGTGTTTACTGTATACAGTGTCTTAAACCAGAATGACTTGTGCTTTCACAGTGGAATGATATCAGAGAGTAGTTGTATGTGGAAATAGAGTATTTGATATAGTAGATGGAAATTTTTGAGTTGTAATTCCTTTAATGTTTCTAGTCCCCAGCGCCCCACCACAGAATCTAACCCTGGAGGTTCGGAATTCCAAGGTAAGATGCGGAGAATTTGCTGTTCCTCATGGCTAAATGAAGGGTTGATGGGTCTTAGATCAGCCAATATTGAGGGCTGCTCCAGGCCTTTTTTCTGCCATGCTGCTTTCCAGTTATTTGTATATGAGTTACCCACCAGGAGAATATCTGAATGTGGGGCTTGAAATGTCAGAAGCTCTGTTGTGGGTTGTGCATCACTGAATGCAGGGAAGACAGCCACGGTGCACCACAGTTCAGCATGGAGGCTAATTATGAAAGAAAGCAAGGTTTAATCAGGCACAAAAGCCTGAAGCACCAGAGCATGAATATGTTCCTGTTGATTAACTACTGTTTGCAGTATGTGTGCATACATATGCATGTTTAGAGTGTCCTGGGCCACTTTAAAAGAGAAAATGACGTACTTAGTCATTAAGACTTTAGTGATTATGATTGGAGATTTAAAAAAACACTTGTTCCAAACCCTCTTCCAAACCTCTGCTTTTATTAATTATGATTAAAGAAAAACCCAAACCAAAAAAGAGTCAAAAAACTCTTCACGCACACAAACTACAGCTCGGATAACGTGTACCCCTTAAAGAAGGTACTGATTCTTAAAGATGGGTCCTTACGTAAACCATATCTTAAGGCAACACAATGAAAATGAAATGGGAAGCCAAGAGGCTGTTTGTGAAATGAAATCAGAAGGTCTAATGGGGTTGAAGCGCTTTGAGATGAACTTTTACTGGCATGTCTGTGGCCTGTTTTTTTACTTTTTACAGGTAGCCTACATTTTACATACATGAAAATGCAGTGTTTTCTATAGGCAGGCTTGACTATCTTGCATTTCATGAAGTACTAGCCCTAGAGCAGTTTCTGTGGCTGTGTGGGAAGCAATGACTTTGCGATTACCTTCTACCTTCCCCAGAGCATCATGCTACAGTGGCAGCCTCCGCCTCTAGGAACACACAGCGGACAAATCACTGGCTACAAAATTCGCTACCGTAAAGTGTCCCGTAAGAGCGATGTAACGGAGAGCATTGGTGGGACACAGCTGTTTCAGCTAATTGAAGGTGAGCTAATATTTGCAAGCATTTGTTATCAGAATGCCTTTTCAGTTGCTTTCAGTGGGCTGAGGCTCAGAGACGTGTTTATCTAGGGTACTTACCTTGGAAGAAGAAACAAAAGCGTTTAAAATGAGTGGTTGTAAGTTTTGAGGTAGGCTGGCTAGTGGAAACTGAAGTCTAGTGGCCTGTTTCCCAGCCCTAATTTTGCTATTACTTTGCAAAGTGGATTGGAGAAATCCTTTAAAAATCTTTACTACTACTACTGTGCAGTAGAAATAAACAGGACATGAGAACGTGTTCATTTTTTCTTTTTAATCTCTGTAAATGAGCAGTTGGCCAAAAGAGAAGTTGTTGTACCTCATTAGAAAGTGAATATACACTTTTTAAGAAGGTGGTTTGTTCTCAGAACCGGCAGCCCTGTGACTCAGTAAATTTCAGTTTTCTCACCGAGTAGGGGTTTGCTTTGTACCTGTAACGAGAAGATGTTTTTGCCAGCAACAAAAGCCTGTTTTAAAAGTTCTACGTATCAAATTTTTGAGTGCGTTTTCATTTTGCTTTGGTTCTTGCTTGTATGCTCTTGTGTACCATAAACTAACTGCTTACACATTTTGGTCGCTCATCTATACTATACACCTATGCTTAGTTACAGGCGTGAGTGGTTCTGAACTTAAAACTAATTAATAGCCTGAAGAGTAAAGTCTGACTGCTGAGGCTGGAAACGGTACCTCATGGTGTCTGCCGGCGACCTACCGGGAGGCTCTGCGTAGTGTCACAGCCCTGGGCGTCTCCGGGCACAGTTTAGCTGTTGCACCCTAATTGGTGTCAGCTTCCTTGACGGAGTTGCACTGAGGGTCGTGCTGATTTCCCTTCCTGACCTCAGGTTATGCTCAGATTTGGGGTGAAAGGACATTACTATCAGATTATACTTGCAGTGGAAATAAGTATTTTAATTAGGAGTCGGGATTCCTGTACTCACAGCTGGAATTCCTGGTTTGATGTCCTGGCTCCTCTTTGTCTGTCAGGTCTCGAACGAGGCACAGAATACAGCTTCCGCGTAGCTGCCTTGACTGTTAACGGCACTGGACCGGCTACTGACTGGGTATCGGCAGAAACGTTTGAGAGTGATCTAGATGGTAAGGTCATAAGTGAGAGCGTGTTTGTCACGCTAAAGACATCAAAATTCATGGGCAGGGTACAGTAAAGTCTGATTGCCCTCTTAAAGATAAGCATGACTTTGCTCAATTACTTTTGCTGTATTCTAATTGTACAATGTGTTTTATTTATGTTTAAGTGAAGTTAATGTCTATTTTAACATAAAATTCTTGCTAAGTCAATAGAATGGCTTTAAATTAAGTCCTGCTTCTTTATTTTTTAGTGCTGCATGCTAGCACTATGTTTTTCCTGGTAAGAAATACCAATTATGAATGATAACATCAGTGACTGAATATTTATATAACAATATATAATAATATTTATATAATAATAATGGCTCTTGTTTATATTGTAATAAAATTCATCTTGTTAATCATGCAGGTGTTTGCATGCTACAAAATGGAGGTAGGAGGATTGTTTCCCTCGAGGGAAGTAAAATAATGGTTGTGTTTGTGTAGCACCTACAGTATGCTAATGTGTAACCATTGAAGTATACCTCAAAGAGTTTAGACTAGTGATTTGACGTTCAAAGATATGATGCAGTGATAAACTAGACATAGTTCTGTTGACCACAGCGTGGATTATGAGTGCCTGCGTTGTGGTTGTAATCTGCGTTGAATGTAAGAGAGATGCCGCAGTAGGAAAGAAACAGTGGAAAGTGTGGCAGATGCCCGTGTATACTTGCAGTCTTACCACTATATTTCATTAATACCACGCTCTGTTAAAATATTTTTCCTGTATTTTTTTTTCTTTCTTATGTTGTCCTTCTGAAGGAAAGAATAAAGAGGCAAGAGGGCATTTGACCGACAGTCGTTGTTGTTTTGCCGCTTTAGAAAATAGGAGACAGATTATATTTTCAATGCTAGTAGACCAGTGTAGACCCTACCCTCTTCTATCAAAAATTAAGTCTTCACCAAAGCCATAGGTTCATGATGCATGGTGTACAGAACCTTGTTAACATCTTGTTTTTCCAATGTAGAAGTTAACAATAAAGGTAGAAAATGTTCTGTGAAAAAATTTGACTTTTGATAGTTGGTCAAATGGCAACCTGCCTCTTACAGAAGAATGCAAGTAAGGAAATTTGTGGGCTTCCTGCAGAATCTTGTCTAAAAGCAATTTGAAATTGAGGAAGAAGAGCACCACTTTTAAAAGTATCACTGTATTATATTGTGGCAGGCAGATCTCTCTGGATCTGCCTACCTGTGTATGGTGGTTCTGGGTAGACTGTACCTATTTCAGAAAGCCATTTGATCAGTTTTGTTGCACCCACGTTACCGTACACTTAGCTTTTTGCAGGCCAGTCCCCCTTTGCTGTGTTAGAGTAGCTTGAAGGTCTCGTTCTAGCTTAGTTAGTGCGCGAGATGCCACTAATGTCTTTCAGGTCCATGTGATTTGAGATTCAGTTATGCTGGTAGCTGGGAGACAGAATTATAAAAGAGCTTCAATACTTGCTCAGTGCTGTTGGAAGATTGCTTAAATAGCCAGCTGATTAAACTCCTTGAGAGCCGATGTTTCGATCTTTGCGTTATGCAAAGTTGATGCTCAACTTAATATATGCCCTCTTATTTCTTATTTTCCTTTGCTTAACTATCCACAAAAAACAATTTAACAGTAGAGTTCAGTTTTGTAAGCTATTGAAAGTTTACTTTTTAAAGCTGAAATTGCTTGCATCTGTGAGTCTGTCTTTCTCTAACTGGATATGACACAATCTTGTAGCTTTGAAAGACCGCTGGTTCCCCCAGCTGAAGCAGAATTCTGTAAACGGTACTTAAGGTACTGAAAATGTACTCGCCTTTTGAGTTAGAGTTAACAATTCTTTGTCAGAGGATAGCCTCAGGATTAAATTTCAGCAGGGAGGGAGGAAGGAGAAAAAAAGAACCCTTTCATGCTGTGTTGGTTTTGTAATTTTAGTCATTTCCAAATTGGAATATTACTGTTGTTCCAGGAAATCTAACTTTCTTTGTACATATGCGTGCCCTTTACAACGTACAATTTAATGAAAATTCCCAATTAAGACAATGTAATATGGTAGTCATAGCGTTATGTATACATGTGTGAGATGCTTGTGTGTGTGCATACTGGAAAGGAGATTTATATTTTTCGCTTTTCTTTCTTTGAAAGGCCATATGGATAATTTTAATACCATGCAATGTATTTACAGCTAATCTTTAATTACTTGGGTTCAGTATACATGTAAGACCTGATTACTATTTATTCTGTGGCTGCTTTTTGAATTTAAATAGAATATAATTCACTTTATAGAGTCCTCAGTGTAAATGGGAGTTAGACCATTACAATTTTGTGTTAGTTTCTAATTGTGTAGAGCTGGTACAAGTCCTGCCATAAATGCTGAAGTTGTTAAACAGTTGCCCAGCGTTTATCCCCAAGACACTGACTTTTGTGCAGTTAAAAACTTATAACTCTTATATTGCAATTCTGTAGCTTTTCTTTATTTAACAGTTGTGAACTTTAAGCGATCAGCTGTGTCAGCTGGAGACCATAAGCTCTTTGGGCTAGTAAGCCAATGGCATTGTTATGATCCAAATAATATTGCTGTGGTGGTTTATTAAATGTTTTTTGATGAATGCAACATGTTTCTTTAAAAGGCAATCCCTGCAGGAAGCAGAACTTTCTGAACTGATTTTATTTTACAATGGGGAGCTCAACTTAGTATTATATAGAATATTTAATATCTGCCGACATAAGGCATGTACTAGTGGTCTGACAGAGCTACTTACTCGATTTTCAAGAGGTTAAACATAGGTATGGACATCAGTACGTACAGCCGTTCTTTTGGATTGCTTTTAAGTTCTAATTAGCAGTGGGAAAAAAATCCTTTTATTAAAAATATTAGGGGATTGCAGTTACATACTATGGAAGTCCTTCTGTTATTAAGGATTCACTTTCCACCTAGCTATTGGATTGTGATGAGGTTCGTGTTGCTTTTTGCGGGGGGAGGCTATGGATCCTATGGGTATTTTTTGATCTCGTGGTATGGCCATGTAGTCTCTGCATATGTTCTGTGAACTATTTAAGAGAGATTCAAGGATTTAAACAGTGACAAGTAAGGTGGGTTCTACACAACAAACCCTTGTAGTAAATGCAATATCCAGTTTCTTGGTAATTGTTAGAGCTTTGGAATATTTTATTTAATCCTGTAGTGAGCTCAGAAACCTTTCTTTCATCATCAGTGTGTTTTCAAGGTAATTGTTTTAGTGCCTACAAGCAAGTAATATGCTTTGTGAATGGGAGGGAAGTGATAAATTTAAAGCAAACTTGAAAAATTACAAATGGGAAGGAACAGGCACAAAACTCAAAAATCAAAGAAGTCCGCCTTGAAGCAGATCTGATACTTTTCTTCATTATGACTGCCCTTTCTTTTAAAACTAGTATCTATCGAAGTATATTATTATACAAAACTGTGTTAATTTTCTTCTGCTTATTAGAGTGCTTTACTTTCTCTTGTACAACGAAGATCTCTCCTTTGAAGTATTCTCATTTTAATACAAACACAAAGTAAAAGTGCTACATTTGACCTCAGTGGCTTATAAGACTCCTTCATGTAATTACCTTTATTTAAGAGAAATCCTTTAAATTCATCATTTTTCTTTAATAGAAACTCGTGTTCCTGAAGTGCCAAGTTCCTTGCATGTCCGCCCACTTGTCACCAGTATTGTAGTAAGCTGGACTCCGCCTGAAAACCAGAACATTGTGGTAAGAGGCTATGCTATAGGGTATGGCATTGGCAGTCCCCACGCACAGACCATCAAGGTGGACTACAAACAGAGATATTACACCATTGAGAACTTAGGTAAGGAAAATGAATTAACATCAACACCTGGATTTTATCTTTCATCTATGTTACTGCTTTCTAGTTATGGTATTATAAATAAATGCAACTACAATCATGTCTTCTAAGAGGATCTTTTTCATAGTGAAGATACTATACTGAGACTGCAAACTGTTGTTCAATTTAAAATAAACTCACTTTTCTGTTGATAGAGGAATGCTTAGGGAAAGGGAGGAAAAAAACCCCCAGACTCCTAAATTCACTGATCTTGACGCTTAGTGCGTTTTGATTTGATGCTTTCACTTGGGTTCACTTTCAGCTGACATACCTAAAATAACTAGAGTAGACCTGAAGTAGGAGCATCTCTGCACGTGGCTTCATTTAGCGTGAATGAAGCAGCGAAAAGGCAGGAGCAAAAAAGAGTTTGCACTAAAAATACATCTGAATTTCTCTTCCTTCAGACCCAAGCTCCCACTACGTCATAACTCTGAAAGCATTTAACAACGTCGGTGAAGGAATCCCTCTCTACGAGAGCGCAGTGACTCGGCCTCATTCAGGTAAAGGCGAGGGGTTGCTTTCACGTTTTGCGCAGCTGAAAATCGTTAACATGCAACCGGCACAGCAGCTGAAAATGTGATGATGTGTAATGTAAGAGTGTTGTTTTTCAGTGTCATCAAGTACTCTCCATTTATTTAACTGATTGGCCTTACTGTTTCGGTGCTTACCTTGCATGGTTCCTCCGTTTATCAAACCACCTAAAATTGATTTTATGATTAAATTACAAAATTTACCCTTCAGCAACTCCCAGATGTCCTTATTCAAAAAGTTACTCTAATTTTAGCACAAATTGTGCCAGTTCTAAAGGCATTGAACTTGTTTTTGTTTTTGTTTCGTTTTTTTTTTTAAATACCAGTATAGATTTTGTCTTTCACACTGAGACTTTGAATTATTATGCTGGTATTTTCTTGTCTTATTCTCATTCTGCAGTCACTACATTAAACGTTTCATCTTGTAATAAAAAAATTGATGTTATCTTAGTCTTTAAGCAGAGAAATTCATTCACAAGCGAGCTACTGCTCTTCGCTGGCTCCTTGTGCTACCTGCTACACTGGTGACATTATTTAGTACTTCAGAGATGGTTGTTCGGATTTTAACACTTCTAAATGTCTTAATCTTCTGAAGACCAGGAATTCTGGCAGGTTCCTAGAGGACACTGGAATTCCAGTTTCTTCAGTTGCTGCAAATCCGTAGGATACATGGAACTTGATTGTCATTAACATTCTTTAAAAGATGATGAGAGTTCCCCATAATTTGTTATGAAGTAGTATTTGCCCATCTAGAATAAGTCCATCTCTTCTTCCTCGTTACTCTTTTCTGGAAAAGGAATCAGTGGACATTTTGGGGCAAATGAAGTCAAAGTTAAAATCACTGCATTATGCTGGAAGTATGTTGGGGTTCTTATGACTGAACACGAGTATGATTAGGTGGCCAACTTTATAGCATATGTATATCACCATTGCCTTAAGAAAGGGAACACAGTGCAAGAGTGATTTTATTAGCCAGTCTTGTGTCACCTATTAACTCTGACTTTTCTCTCTTTTTCTCCATTTCTCACCTTTCATTTCATTGTATTACCCTGCATTTCCCCTTTTTTGTTTTTGTTTACATTAAAATGCCACCTTCTCCCTTTTTAATTATAATACACTACTTTTTACCCATCAATTCCCTAGACACTTCCGAAGTTGATTTGTTTGTTATTAATGCTCCATACACTCCAGTGCCAGATCCATCTCCCATGATGCCACCGGTGGGAGTTCAGGCTTCCATTCTGAGTCATGACACCATCAGGATCACTTGGGCAGACAACTCTCTGCCAAAGAACCAGAAGATCACAGATGCTCGCTACTACACAGTTCGCTGGAAAACCAATATTCCCGCAAATACAAAGTACAAGGTATTGGAGTTTCAACAACGTTAACACAGCTGGAGTACTTGAATGAGAGGTTTAATGTTCAAATCAGGGTGAAGTGGAAGTTGAGAGTGAAGACAGTTGCTTAGAGCGCAGTGTAAGCTTGTGTCCAGTTGTATTTGAGATGACAGGACTGTGTTGACATCAGTAGTGTTCAGTGAAATAATCGCTTCAAAGGTACCTGTAGATTTGGTGAAAGTAGATGTTTTTGTGGTCTCTCTTGTGTGTGTGCGCGAGAGCGGCTGAGACGGGGTGTTGTGTAGGAGCGAATGGAAGAGCTGACTCGAGGAAGCAGGGAAGGGAAAACGCTTCCAGGATTGCTTTCCGCTGTGGGACTGTGGACACAGTGGCTGATTTCAGCCTTGCTGTTTTACCTTACCATGATCTCTTTGTATGACAGATGTGGCCTTCCCTGGAGAGAAGCCAGTAGCATGTTAATGTGGTCTGTGTTACCAGTGGCTTCTCTCCAGTTAGCAGAGGAATCTGCATTTGTGGGGTGAGTCACACACACCCTCTAACTGGAAACTATTTACTCGGATGGTTTTAGGTTGTTTTCTGTTTTACAAGCTTTTCTGGTCGTACCAGGTTGATGGTGAAACTTTCCTTTAGGAAGTGAATGGGTGCAAAATATATAACAATACCTTTATGATATCCTTGGCTTCCCAGGTCTTCATCCGCTGTTTTGATTTGGAGGCTAGATTTGGGGTTAGGTTTTTTCATTTGGATTTTTTTTGGTTGGGTTGAATTATTTTACAGTTAATGGTTACCTGGAGACCTCAAAAATGCTGACTGTAAATTTCACATTTGAAATGAGCCTCAAAGGAAATGGTTGTTAAAATACCCAGCTAGTGGAGCTCCCTTTATGATCTTACAGAGCAATCTTGTTACAAACCAGATTTTTTTTTTTTTTTGGAAACAGAAAGATGTAGGTATGTTCTTCCTCTAAAGGCAAGTTATTTATGAACCCACGTTCCCGAATCATGTGCAGAGGATGTCTCAGGAGTGGTTTATGTAACGCTGCAACTTCATTAGCTAAGAGCTTAAGAAAAACACCCTCAGTGGTAAATGAAATGCTCCCGCAGTTCTCGGCACTGGTGGCCAGTGGTCAACAAGTTTTACTGTGGACCAAAAATAATATGTAATGATGGAATACGGTTCAGAATTACTCATTGTAAAAAACATTTGTCTGAAAGGGCCTAAGTATGAAAACATTTGCTTTAATATCCGTTTTAACCTGTGATGTTTGGAGAACTCTCGTCCTGCCTGTCAGTCTGTGTTTCAGTCACGAACTCTGTACTGCTCTGTCGAACAATAGCAATTGCTAATTTTAAGAAGGGCAGACCTCTTTTCAACGGTGCTGTTCAATAAGCTGTGGTATCTCAGTCAAGTAAAGCCAACAGCGTTATTAAGTATGGGCTAGTATATTGTCTGTCGTGTCCCTCTCTAGCAGCTTTGCTCCTTAGCGCACGTTTCGAGGCTGTTCGCCCAGCGGCGTCAGACCAGCACACCGAAATTCTCTCTTCACGGCCCTTCCCTGGTGCCCAGAGCTGCGTCTGTTCAGCGGGGTGTTGTTTCATCCATCGCCGTCTTCAGTAAACTGGGTGTTGATACAGTTGGCTCAACATTTTCTACCTTTGGACCCACTTCCTATGCTGACGTTTGTAAAAGATTTGGTTAAAGAAAAAGCCACGTGCTTCAAATACAGGTTCAGAGAGTATACCTTAAGGAGCCTTGTTTTTTCAGGTTTATATACAAGATGTGTCAGTCCAGAGTGTATAAACACAGGAACAGATGTGATGCAGTTCCTGAAGCTAAAATAGTCCACTGTGCTTTGGACCGTGTAGTTTCACTAATGTGGATCAGAAAGCATTTTTCAAAGAGCCTTTATTGGTGGAGCAGAGTTTTCCTGCTCGCAGGCTACCTGTAGTTTATTAGCTGTGCTCTCGAGCAGAAGCTAAACCATTAAATCTGGATTTAGACTTAGGAAAGAAAACAAAGAAAGAAAACAAATTTTACACGGTGCTGTTTATGAAGTTTAATTCTATTAGGTGAACAGGGTGTAGTATCATGGGATATGCTGCAAACTTAAAACCAGTAAGTGGTGCAAATAATGGAGGAGGCAGAGAAGTCGAGCGCTCCGGTTAGGCTTGCAGGTGTGACGTTCGTGATGACGTGCAGTGAAACGGAAAGATACCACATTTCATAGTAACAGATGATGTTATGACTCCAACCTGTAAAAAGGATTCATGCGGCCATGTATGACTGAAGCTGGGAGCTAAACAGGACCACAGACAGGACTGAATGCTTAAATGGTGTTAGGAATTTCCATAGCTATTCTGGAGAAGAAACAAAGCTGTTTCAGGGGTAAGTCAGCTCGTGATGTAAGATGCTAGGAAAGGGTTTCTCCTATGGACCGACAATCCTATAGTTGTCCAGGCCCGAGTTCTTCGCAGCTTCCACTGGCGCATCTGTTATTTCCTAACGTCCCTGAGCTAGACTGCAAAGAGCCTGGCAAAATATTGCTTGGCACTCTGAGAGCTGGTGGAAAGCTCTTCTGGGCGCACGGTTTTGCGTTACTGCTAGGGAGGTTGCGTTTGATCTAGTTTTGTCGCAGAGTTTTGCATCAACTGAAGGTTTAAAGGTAATGGAGGATTCAACGTTAATTATTTTTAGGATGTCTTTATTTTATTCTCTGCCGTCCGCCCCCGGGAAGTCTTAAGTGGCTAAGTGCACGTCTGGGAACATGTAAAAGACTTTGTACAAATCTAAGTTTCACCTGGCTAACAGATGAACAGCTGAAGTTTGCTGAACTTTCAGCTAATGTAGCTAAAAAGGTGTCACTGTATACTCAAGAAATACCGTTTTTCTCTATAGAGTTTAGTCCTTTTTTATTTGGACTATATTAGACTAGACTGGACAGTATTTGAGTCTTGAAGTAATGTGAATTTATAGATCCTTTTCCTTGAAGGAGAATTAGCTGGAAGCAATTGTTTTCTGAAGGAAATAGTTATTTGTGAATACAGTTGTTATATGAGCCTGTCAAATTTTGAAATGACTAACTTTTAGATTACTGTAGGTCTATGAAGAAGGTAGGTCTGTGTCTTTATGTAGGTCTGTGAGGTCTATGATGAGGTCTGTGAGGAATACAGATAGAGGTAGCTAACCTTTTTTTTTTTTTTTTTTAGCCTAAAGATAAAAAAGTTGTGCCTGAAGTTACTGAGTTCTGACTCATTCTATAAGCCCTATGTAGTTTAAGCATGTCCCTAGATAATCATTCTTTCTGAAAAAAAACCCTACCTATTAATAAAGCTTAATTTTTTCCATGTCTCTGAGCACCTACATCCTCAGTTGTTTTTTTGAAGTATGTTTAAAATTCACTGAAAATTCTAATATGAATTTGGAAGGAAGATCCGGATTTCAAGAAGGGCATTTAATGTTAACTGTGCTTTATTGTTTTCCCTTGCTAGATCATTTAATGAAATGCTGTAAATTAACCCCCACAACAGACAGTGATTCAGCCTGCTGCATAACAAGCGTGCCCCGGACATTATATTGCGTTTTTAATTTATAATTGACTGTTATTAAATGCTCTTGCTGACTGCAGAAACGATTTCTAGTTTAGGGTAAAACAAGTGCTACGTTACTTCTTGATTAACGAATTGGCATGATAAAGCAAAAAAGAGAATCGATGGTCATGGTTATCAACATGTAGCAATGTAAAAATGTTTTAAACACGTGCCTGAGGCCCAGGTGTCTTGAGACTTGATGTTTTTCAGAAGTTACTGACAATTTGCTTTTCTTTCAGACTGCAAACGCAACCACTTTGAGCTATTTAGTGACCGGGTTAAAACCAAATACCTTGTATGAATTCTCTGTGATGGTGACTAAAGGTCGAAGATCGAGTACTTGGAGTATGACAGCACACGGAACAACTTTCGAATTAGGTACTCGTTCCTGTCCTTCCGGGAGGGCTGATGCTTCGGACAGCCGGAATCAAGTCTAGTCCGCCAGAATGCGGGAAGAGGGAGTGCACATATTTAACATGATTATGCTGATGAGCGCTTGCTGGGGGTTTTCTTTTCTTTATAGTTTAGTCAGAAATCCTGATTAAAAACCAACAACATGCGTACTTCAAAATTCAAAGGTGTGATTGCATGCAAAAGGATTCTCATCAAGTCCCTGAGAAGTAATAAATAATACGCCACAGTTCACGGATGGGAGAGAACAAAGGAACATACTTCTGAAACCTCTCGGATGCAGCACATCAATAGCAAATACAAAGAAAATAGTTTAGCCAATGATCGTTAAAATTTGATATAATTATGATAATAATCATTATAGAGTAAGAAAGCTCGTGAGGCAAATGAGTCAAAAAAAAATCCCAACAGGGATTAAGATGTCAAAATCAGCCCTGAATTCTTACTCTTCAGCATGAATTGCCGTTGCGGTTCTCAGTGACGCGCTCCCGAAGTGCAGAGCAGAAGAGGGTTGCGGCTGCTGGGAGGAACGTGGGCTCGCGGAGTAACTGCAGTATTGCAGTACCTCTCCTGCACCAGACCTGTCCCTCTTTAGCTCCTTTGAGTCTTTGTGTGCTTAAATTTGTTGCTTCTTGTGTTTATGTTTTTGTTTACTTGAACTGTACGTACAAAAAGCCTATCTAAATTGCCGTATAGTTCTGATACCGGTTTAAAAATCAGGTATGCAAAGAATCGGTCAGGTCATCCAGACAGTGTAACGCAAGGAGGAAAAAAGCACAAATCAGGTTAAACTAGGATAAAATCAAAAAGCTCCTAACTCACTCTGAAGTCCCATATACCCTTAGTGAGCTTCGGTTACTTTTGAAATCATTGTCTTAGTTCTTGGTGGGAATCCCATTCATGTATTTTCCTAGAGGTGGCCTGCTTTGTCCGAAAGTATTCCCCTGAAAATCCCGGCGATCTGGAGTGGAGGCAGCTGCCGCTCCAACAGCACAGGTCGGGGACTGAGGCACGATTCCCGTCGTGATTACTGTGCGCGTTATTTGGGGTTTTTGGTGCCCCGCATACAGTTCTCATCCATAGCTCTACGATAAGAATAGGGACTGTTAAAGTTGCACAGAAATGTTCCAAAAAGAGAATTTGAAACAAAAAAATACATGAGCGAGGGTGAAATACATGAAGTTTCATGTCTTCTATTTAAATAGAAAATAAATTTCTAGTCTGAGTGGTTGTGGAGAAATATTTGAAAAGATGACCTAAAAGCTTGGGAACTAAGAGGCAAATTAAAAAAAAAAAAAGGCTACATTTATTTTCTCATAGCAGATCTTGTGATTTATATTACTCGCCAAATTCCTGAGTGTGTGACTCATTATCTTTGAAAACTCATGACTAGCTGCGTTGTATAGGACTTACTTCTCAAATAATACTGAAGAAAAATACAGGATACTGATTTCAGTGTTGGCCTGCGAGCTGGTAATCTCTTGAGGGGCTAGTCCCGATTTTTGTCTCTGTACCTAACCGTAGGGCCTTGAATCATGCTTTGCTTGAGTTCGTTTCTGCTGAGCATGTGTTTAAGGGTTTTGGATAATAATGGCGCTAATTTTGGAGCTTCACTTTCACCATCCCTGTGACTGCATTCTGCAGAGTGGCCACCTCAGAGGATGGAAGGATTAGTTTCTGATAGATAACATACATAAAGCTCTTTAAATGTGGAAGGCACTGTGTAAGCTCTAAATATTACTGTTACAGTATTAAATATCCGAGGCAGATTTACTCTGCTAAAAGTTACCTAATTAGAAGTCTCATGTTTTTCATAAAGCGGAGTTCCACACTGTAGCTGGTTAATGCACCTTTGGAGATGTTGGCTTTGTGCATTTGAAAGCCACTAATCTAAGCCCCAGCTGGATATTTTAGTTCACAGCGAGAAAGGTTTCAGATTTCAGTCTTTTACTGGAGTGGCTTGTGCAATTTTCTGAGTTTTAGGCAGGAGGGGCCTGATAGGAAAAAAAAAAAGTTCTCTCTCTCTCTCAGGCAACCCAAGGAGAAAAGTTGGACAGTTGCGTTCAGCAAATATTTCTAGATTTCAAATGCTTCTGCGGTGCAAATTTCCTTGCAAATCACACCTGGATCAGTCGTAAAGTAAATTAGCAGTTATGAGTTATGATTCTAAACCTCTGGTGGATTTTGCTGATTCAGATTTGAGGGGAACATGGGCGCTATTAGGTCTTGGTCCCACCATAAACCGCAAAATACGGAGATACTTTATATATCTATGCGTACAGGATGTATTTATTTCACAAGTTCATGTAATTTTCCTGATGACCAACCTAGTGCAGGCTAGGAGTCATTAACCCTAATGTATTTGGGTTTTACAAAGACAGCATTTTTTGGAAGACACCTGGGCTCATTCAGTCATGAATCACAGCATCTGTTGACAGAAACGCTGTAGAAACAGGTAACTTCTTATGGAAAGGAGCTACTGCACACCAGATGGCATTTGCCAGTTTAATGGAGTAAATCAGTACTATGCAGTAAATCACTACACTGTGATGGTAGCTTTACTTGAAGCTGAATGTTTTGAATTCTTATTATTGTATGTGCCTTTCTTTCAGTGGCAAAACATATGAATAGCGAAGGTGCTGAGATTATTTTCTTATGTCGAGTGAATTGTGCAACGTGGTAGTCTGATAGTCTGTTCTTTGTTTGTTTGTAGTTCCTACTTCTCCTCCTAAAGATGTGACTGTGGTGAGCAAAGAGGGAAAACCTCGGACAATAATTGTTAACTGGCAGCCTCCATCTGAAGCCAATGGGAAAATTACAGGTACAGTTTGCATGAGTTTTGAAGGCAGGTATAAGAGGCTCAGTGAACAGCAGGATATAATCTACAGATATATATATGTGAACATGTACCATACGTTGTTTATCCTAGAGCTGTCCAAGACTTCTGCATCATCCTTGCTCTACAAGGATTAATTATTTACTTTTGTACCTAGTGAAAATATATTAAGATATAAACTGTAACTGCAGTGTGATATTGGCATCTAACCAGAAGTATGTTTGAAAGTCCAAATATCTTAGTAACCTTTGTCTTCCTCAGCTTGTGCTATTCTAATAGCATGCCTCCAGAAACACCATCTGTACTGCATCTGGCCCAGAAGTATTGTATTCAGAAGTTTCTGTTCCAGTGCTCTTTGTCGTCTTTGTGCTGCTCCTGTGGTACAGAGGAGGCTGGAAGCCAGTATGTTAGTGACTGAAGAACTCCTCCCGACATAATGATTAGGAGTAAATTGTTATCTGGCTTTGTAATTGCATCACTTTCATGTAGGATAAATCATCTTAGAGAAAATAGTAATTGCCATTTTCCTTTCTGTGAGAGTTCTCTTCATTTGGATTGCCGTTTCTAAAGGCTTTCTGAAATAATTCACTTCAATTTTACTTTTTTTTTTCCCCCCCGGCTGTAAGCTTAGAGCAGATTTTATTGGCATGTAGTCTGCTTATGTTATTGGACTCGCCTATGGTGCAGAATCAAGCCTTTGAAACCAGTCCACAGCTGAAGAGTCTGAATACGCAGTAATGCAGCCCAGGTCCTAGACAGGAGACTAAAGCTAATCAGCTTTCTCTGAAAAGGCAGAATGCCAAAGATTCTGTTTTTAATAATTACCACAAACTTTTTAGTAAACAGGAGGAAAGGTCCCTAAAAAGCAGAAAGGCATTCCGCATGCAGCCCCGGAGGCTGCAGGTAGGACAGCCTGGACGTAGCAGGTAGGAGTGTGCGTCTTTGGCGTTAGTGTAACCGGTACGGCAGGAAGGGTTGTGCAACCTACCAGCGCGTTGCTCTTCGTATCATCCCGTGGAGGGAGATACAAGGATGCAACTCAAAAAGACCAGCTACTTACGCTACAACAGCATGTCTTTATGAGCTATCTGTGTGCCTCTATATAGTCGTTTATATTTTTAGCTTTCTGTGTTTTCATTTATGAAACAAATTCTAGGTTATTTTATTATCAGCTAGATGTTTCCTCTATATCTGGAGGAAGGTTTGACCAGAGAAACAAGGGCCTTTATCTTAATTGCAGGTTAAAGCACTCGGTGGCTAGTGCTCAATCAGGGTCATTCAGACAAGTGAAAATGTAAGGCATAAATATCCCCAGGTTGTATATGCCCTTAAAAAGATGAGCCTTGTCACCCTTATTATCTTCTAGCAAGTATATATGCGAGAAAACGTGCAAAGAGATCAGCATTTAGTTATACAATGTATAATGTATATATAATTGTATATAATTGTATATACATGGTATATAATGTATACAATGTATGTAACGTTATGTAACAATGTTATATAATTAACCAAATTATCACGAAAAGGTAATTTTCCAGTAAAAAATCTTGCCATTTCTATACCAGGAAGGAAAGCCTCACATTTGTTCATTCATGTTGAGTGGAAATCCGCAGTATTCGTTATTTTTTGCATAAGCAAAAACAGCTGAATATTTTCTTTAAAAAAAAAAAAACACCCTTTTTTTTTTTTTTTGGAACTTGTTTTGCTCCCAGTCTGTCTGGAGTGCAGCAAGCGTTAGAGGGCAGCTGGGTGCAGGCAGGGCTTGTCGGGCTCGCGCGGCCCCAGTGCCCTCTGCTGGGGGGAAGCCACCTCCGGAGTAACTACTCGCTCAATCAGCTCCGCTCGCTCTGCGAGGCGGTGATGTCGCTCCGCGCACTAGCTAGCCTGCCTTTAGACGACTCGTCTTATCTGTGCTAATCGGCTTTTGACGTGGCTATAGGTCGTTCTGTAACCCATCCAAGTAGCAAATTGTTAAGTCTACTCCCCAGTAGATAACGATGCCACCGAGGAGCGAAATAACGATGCCAAGCCTGCAACTGGTGCTTCACACACGTCACCCTCCGTGCCATACTGATTCCTGGGCTGTCGGTGAATTTGGGGTGTCGGCAAGATTTTCAGTTGCTTTAAAGAAGTGGAAGTCCCTCTGCAGGATGTGCACCACCCCCCCCTTATTGTACCCCACAGACAGGTGGTCCGTGGAGCAAGGGAGGTAGCAATTTGTGCAAATGAGCATTTATTTTATGCCGGGGTCCTGTGCTGCTCCTTAAATAACAACAAGTTAAAGAGCTTTTTACTTCATCTTGCTTCGTATGTGCAGTATATATAATAAAATACCATATACTCTTCTTATACCTTATTTCTGTGATATGCAAGGTTGTTTCAGTTCTCTTCAGATTACAGTTTTCTTCGTTAAGAAAGTGAAAACTAATAAAATTTAATTATTTTATAATATAAATTAATAAAAAATAAGCTGTGCATGAGAATGCTTCTTTGGTTTAGGTTTGTCAATGTTCTGTAAGCGTTAATGCTTCGGAGATGTTTTAATAATAGTAGCGAAATGTTTTTTATGTTATTTGGACTATGATCGGGTGAAGAGATGGAAATGAGGAATTTCTGCATAGTTGGATGAGCAGTGGTTACAAATAGCTTTGATATTTCAAATGGCTTTTTTTCCTCTCAACGTAGTCTTGTGAGTGGCTTAAAATTTGAGATGGGAAAGCTGTCTAATACCTGAATGCATTCTTAGTCTTTGGAAAAGTAAGATGACGCTTTCAGAAAACCCGTAATCATTTAGCTGCGCAGATACGATGAAAAGTTGATAGAATGTTTGCTGTTAGATCTTACAAATATTCTGCCCTTCTATGCATAACGGTTCTTCTTTTTTCCTTTGAATAGGATACATCATTTACTACAGTACAGATGTGAATGCTGAAATACACGACTGGGTTATTGAACCCGTCGTGGGAAACAGACTGACCCATCAGATACAAGAATTAACCCTCGATACACCCTATTATTTCAAAATTCAGGCTCGCAACTCCAAGGGCATGGGGCCTATGTCTGAGGCAGTTCAGTTCAGAACCCCAAAAGGTAAAGTGTCACGAATACATAAATATCTTCTCCATCATTTTCTGATGAAAGCCATATAGGGATAAAACACCAGCAGCATGATTTTTCTAGTTAAACTGGAAAAGACAGGAAGAAGATAGAGTTTGATTAGAAGAAAATTTTCTCTTGGGTTGCTCTTGCATGTCGTTAATACATATGCAAAGTTTTCTCAGCTGTTTGCTTAGATGTGTTGCTTCAAAATTATTGGTAGGCCATTAGGTTATTAATGCTGAGGATCCCTACCCTAAACGTGCTTGTCAGAAAACTAGTGTCTAGTTGCTTGAAGGTTCTAGGTTGCGTGTGGCATCTGCCCATGATGAAACGGTAGAAAACAACAGGGTCTGGAGTTGGTAGCCGGCAAACAACTGCACTCTAACGTGAACTGGTGTGACACAACAGGCTCTTTAATCAAGAAGTGCTTGGTGATGAGTAACTGGTAAAACATTAAGAATGCAGGGTACTTGGAAAATCTCATACTCCGGAAAGGAGCTGAAAAACCCTTGCTGTGGGAGGGAGTCAGAGGTGAAAGTGGTCCAAGGAGAGATGAAAAATAACCGCAAAAATGTTATGAGGAGATTTTCTGACCGTACTTTTTCCATGTGAGTATTTGTGGTTAAACATGAGGTCTTAAATCTTAACCAAGTTTGTTTATGTTATGTGAAACTTCAAAGTCTGTCTGTCACTCCTTCAAGCCTTGTGATCTTTCTCTTGTTTTTTTTCCTTCCTTGTGCTTGTCCCAGTAGCTGAATCCTCAGATAAAATGCCTAATGATCAAGGTAAATGAACAGCCATGCTTTCTCTATTATTCCATCTTTTTCTTTTTTTTTTTTCCTCTTTTCCAAGAGTTGTTGCGTTTCCTAAACGAAACAAGTATCTGCTGCTCTGAATGTAAATGAGCAGGTTCCTGTTTGTGCTTTTTATAGCGGAAGGCCTGGAAGTTCTATTTGTGGTTGGGGTGCTGGAATATAAAGTGATCTCTGTAGTCAGATGTCACATGAAGGGACAAGCAGGTTGTGCCAGAGCTGAATCATTCTGTCAAAATGAATTTGGATTAAGTGATCTTCCAGCCAGCCTCTGACCACTGCGTCTTTGGTCTCAGTATACAGAGGTGGAAGACCAAGCAGTTATTTAATTAGCATAAGTGCTGTTTTGTGAGCTCTGTATCTATAATTATTTTCATGATAAAGGAAAATATCACTACTCTAGACAGCTTTTTTGCGAGAGAGATTCTGCTTGTCAGCTCATTTAGACTCCACTCTCTCCTGAAGATATAACATTAGCTGCTAAAAGCCTTAAGGTTTTAAAATGCTAAATTGAAAAATGGTAGCTGTGAGTTTACTACATCAAATTATATGGTGAATGTCCCAGAGGTATTTTTGCTTTCTTCCAAATAAGCTATAAGCCCCATAAAAAGTGGAAGAATTAGTCTGAAGGGAGGAGTTCAAAAGGACATTGGCAAGCATCTTAGACATACAATTAAATAGATCCTAAAGGGACTGAGAATGAGATGTTTTAACTTGCTTTTCAGCCCGTTACTTAAAAGTAATTTATTAAATATGCTTTTACCGTTAGGTTTGCTACCTCTGTACCAAATAATTTTGATCTTAGGTTGTTATGGAGCAGATTCATATCCAGACTTCCATAGCAGAGATACGAGGTGAGATTCAGGATCATCTGTGGGGAAGCAGAAGCTTTCCATGGCATCATTAGTTCTCTCTTGCAAGAGGAGGAGAATAGGGACAGATTAAAATCTGCGTTTTATTTAAAAGGTGCTGTTTGCTCTTCTGCACTGTTCTTCTAACCTCATTTCAGCAGATAACTAAATCTTGTCACCCAGCATTATCATCATAAAGTAACATTTTCTTCCAGTAGCAATTACATTGATGTTGGTCAAACTGTATAGCTTAGAGATCGTAAAAGCTTACCTCAAAGTCAGGAGAGTTTTGTTTCCGAGCACCTATAAGAGCACTGAGAGGCTGTAAATCGTAGCAGTGGGTTAAATGCAGAAAAGGAGAACACAAGCTGAAGAGTGGAAAAGCTTGCTCTGTGACGAGATCATGAAATTGCAGAAGCGTGTCCTTCAGGAAGTAGTAGACAAATTATTTGGGACTGGAGAGAACAAAACTACAACAGGATTGACTCTCTGGCCTTTCATCCTGCTTAATGACTCTGTCTTTCTCTTGCCTGCTTTAATATTTTTTCCTTCCATATGAAGTATGTTGTTCTTCAACACGCTTTTGTAGCGCAGATAAGACCTTATATTAGGAGAGGTTACCAGCTCGTGCTGTTGGGCGTCAGGGATTTGCTTGGGCCTAGTACAAAAGCAAAGCTTAAGATACCTAATCCTGGTAAACCTTTCTGGAAAGGAACACCAAGTAAAATGTTTTGTCCAACTGCCGGATCCCTAATGGGCAACACAGAGGCAACTAAACTAAAAAATTAAACAATTTCAAGTAAACTTTCTCTTAAACTGTTCCTTGATATAGAAGAAAATGGAAAACCTCAATAACAACCTTCCTAAGACCCTGGAAGAAAGGCTGCTCTGCATACAGGAGGTGGAGCACGTGCATGAGCGTGTTTAGAGCACGCTGTGGCGCAACCGAGGCAAGGTTTATGATCCGCATAGTGGTGTGATTAGTGGTGTGATTAGGTGCTTCAACGACGGGCAGTGAGTTCCAGTCTTCGTGCCAGTAAAAACCATAGGGAACCATCGGGTCGTCTTTCAGGTAGCATTACATGTGAAACGAGCTCCCCTGGATTTAGAAGCTAACCTGTTGATCTCTGCTTTCAGGGATTAGATACTGAGAAGTAAGTTGGGTATTCAGGAACCTAAATCTCATTGTATTTTGCAAACTGATTGTGTGTGTTGAAGTTAACTTTGTTTTTTTGGAAATATGAGCTCACTGTTCCAGGGACACCATGCAGTCAGGGCCGATATCAGGTGTCCTTGACCTCTGCAAGGATGTCAAGACCCTTTAGAAAGCAGTGCTTTCCAAAAGGCTGTTTTTTTCCATGTCACTGACTTCCAGTGTTTTTCTCGTCGTCTAAATATGACTTATATTTTGTCACGTATACGTGCACATGGGGGGAGGCGTATAAACCCTGCATGGGACCATGTGAGTACGTATACTGGTTCTAGCGAGTGCAGGTTGCCTGGTAAACTGCGCTGACTCAATGCGATACACCCCCATTTACCGCATGGTCCCTGTTGGTCTGTGTAGGTGACTTTGCATATCTTATTATCTACTCAATTACTTTTTGTCATCTGTTAACTTTAGTAGCAATTATTTTAATTTTCTTTCACAGTGTTACTGACTTACACTTGGCCAAGCACAGGTCTTTGCAGAGGAACCTCGTCAGAAATATCCCTTATGAATAATGATTCTGCAATTATAATTCTTATCAGTTAATTAGTTGTTAATCTTGTTAATATGTGCCGCATTACTTTTTTATTGTGGTATTTTTAATGAAGCACTGTACGGTGCTCAGTCAAATGTTTTCTACAAGTCTAAATATAGAGTGTTTGCATAGTTACTGTTACCAGCAAAACCTGTCATCTGACATGAGGTTTGTTTGGCAATAACTTCTCAACAAAACAGCATAGATGGGCATGAACTATGCTACCATCTCCTGTCCGTCAACCTTTCCATGAACTTGTTCCTATGTTCAGCATCCAGCTACTGCGCTAACAATACCTGGGGCTGCCTGCTTGTCCTTTAGAAATACACTCAGTTATTTTTATTTCCTCGCAAAGCTCCTCTGGCGCTCCAGCATGTCTTCAGGGCTAGGTTCAATGGTTCAGAGAATTTTTCAGCGAGTTTTTTCAAGTCTCTTTGGTGCAAGTTATCTCATCATGCAGATCTAACTATATTAAATACATGCTATTAAAAATTGATTGATTGATTTCATTGTCGCTGCAAAGTTATTAGTCCAGTTCTTTAAAAACGGAACGTCTTTTAACTGAATGCAGTTGTCTCCTCTAGACTAGCAGTTACAATGTATCTCTTTCATTATAGATTTGTCCTGCAATACATCATGTCCATTATTTAGACTACATCTAATCCTTTATTGTAACACGTAGCACGTTCCTTCTTGTTGTCTTCCTTGAGATTTAATCAGTGTTTAGTTGGTACCTTTTGCTGTTCTTATCAATTGTCTTTATTTCCCAATTACTAATTCACAGACTGGGGTATTAACTTCAAAATCTCCATTTGTTACACATCCTCTAAACTGCTACTTTACTTCTTAGCTTGGCCTTTCAACTAAAAAAACCTTCTTTTCTGATTGTGAAACCGTAGTATTGGGGACATTGTTTTTTGTGCTTTTGGCTTTTTTCATGCAGCAGCGTAAAAACGTGCAAGGTATTATGAATTCCTGTAACCAGAGATAGGTCGTTCTTTGCGTCTTGCTGTATGCTTCCCCTACTTCAGTGTTTTTAGTGTTCATGGTAATTTTGCATTAGCATATTTTACTGAAAACGTGGAAGTGAAAGACCCAGGACTTTGGTGTATTTTTTTCTGCTGGAAGCATTCGACTAACTCAGTGGAGGTCTTAACTCTAGAGTTGAACTTGTGGCTTCATGTGCCTCGCTGCAGCAGCGAGTGATCTACATTAGACCTGACTTACAAAGGGGGAAATACTTGGGAGAGTAAAAAGAGGACTGCATTTCAGCGGTTAGCTTAGCTCTTGCATTTAGGTTGCACTCAGAATGGTTCAGACAGAAGTTCCGAAAAAACTACCTTAAAAATGAAAGTGTATGTTTTTGTTTGTGTGTGTGTGTATGCACACGCACATATATATACACACATATATACACTTATTACATATATGACTTTTTCAGCTTCAGGATCTGCAGGAAAAGGAAGCCGGCCAGTGGACATAGGGCCAGATTACAAACCGCCGCTTGGTGGTAAGTGTTGTTATAAAGCTTTTTAAATTAAATGCAGTGTCTTCTGGAATTACACTGAGTGGCGTGATATTCCACTTAGAGCAGTGAACTGTTTACAACCCTGATTGCATCTGTTTCGGTCACTTTTTTCTTTGTATGATGATCGCTGTTCCCACTCAAGAAATTGGATCACACTCCTGTCGTCGAGTTCCTGCCTACTGTGTGGGCTATATGGAAAAAATATCATTACATTCGTTTGAATTTCAGCCTCGACAGCACATTTTCCCAGTTCAGTTTAAAATGGCTGCTACGGTGCTCAGATGTAAAATTAAGTCAGCAAGAACGTGTTAGGGAAGGAGAAAATATCGCGTTAATTCCTTCTCCTTTTTAGCACTGGGCATTGAGGAAGCCTTGCCCTGAGGTAACACTCATTACTGCTACATCAAACGTGTTGAATCATCGTTACTTGAGATTACATCCCATGTGTGAATTTTGTTTCCGAGGAGAGTGACCGCTCCAGAATACTGATGCGGATTGATGTGATTGCGGTGCGCCGGGAACGCCAGCTGTGCTGTGGTTCTTCTAGCACAGTCGCAGGTTAACTCTGCTCAGGCACTAACCTGCTGAACAGTTTGAGTAGGGCAAACATAAATTCTTACAGACTGTCAGTTGGAAATAAATCTATAAGGCACCTTATAGATTTAACAATTGCACAGAAACACAATTGACTAATGGCAAAAAATTGGCAAGCAGTTGAAATCCTGTCAGATCAACCAGCTTCTTCGTTCTGCTGATCTGTATGTTATTACCGTTCTTTGATTGTTAAGCTGATTGCTCTTTGCATTCTTTGATGGGAAACTTTTCTGACTAAACGCCATATAATAAATCATCCTTTCTCCCTGTTCAAACTCTTACAGGCAGTAACAGTCCCCACGGAAGTCCTACTTCTCCCTTGGATAGCAACATGCTTCTTGTAATCATAGTATCTGTTGGAGTGATTACCATCGTGATAGTGGTGATAGTTGCAGTCTTCTGCACTCGTCGTACTACTTCTCACCAGAAGAAGTAAGATGCTTGGGCACGACTTTGCCTTGCCCTACCTTTCTCACTTCATTCTATTACTTAATCCTTTCTTTATGATGCTTTTAGAGTTTGTTGCTTTTGAGTCTTGTGGGCTGCAGAAATTCTGTTCTGACAACAAATTAGTTATGCAGTGCTGTGACATGAGTTTGAATTTTAGTGTTCAGAAGATAACATGCATCAATACAGCTGAGTTATCTTGCATGTGATGATGATGTTTTTCTGCTTTTCCTGATCAGCGTTTCAGAGTTTACAAACCATCAAGATAAGAGTTCACAGGCAAACCAGGAAAACATTTCTTGCAGACCTGCATTTGCCCCTCTCTGAGGAGAGATTGTTGATTAAAATACTGGGATTAATTTACACTCTTCTTTAAAAAAATCAGCTCACGATGTTTGGAGTAATCACACCGTTCTCTGGTGCATACCTTGCTGGAATTTTGGATGGTCATCTAAGAGCTGACATCTCCCATCGTGCAGCCTCCTGGACTACTTGAACCACAGGATCAAAGGCAGAATTAATTCAGGCAGAGCAGCGTGCAAACTTGGCCGTTCTGTTTCCAGCGTTGAGCTGATACATTTATGCAGAGCTGGGTGAATTCAGCAGCTCAGGCAGACTCTCACTCCCATTCTTAGCCTGTATTTCATTGTGCAGAGCAGGTTTCCAAGCCATGCATGACAGTATCTAATTTTTGGATAGATTATTGGAGCGGAGTCTGAACCTGGTGCTGGGCCCCTTAGAAAAGTGTTCTAAAATCCTAAATATAGGTCTACATCTGAATTCTCCCCTCATACACCTGAATTAAGACTACAGCAGAGAAGCTTCCATTCAGAGGCCAAAAATATCACTCCCGAAGAACATGCGCTTCTGCATGTTCTTTGAAAGAACTGAAGAGCTGAAACTTTTTGAGTTTTAAAAGACTCTGTTATGCAAAGCAGAGTTTTAAGAAAGTGCTTCAAAGCCAGGCTTAGAGAGTAATCTCCACTTGTTTTGCTGAAGCTGGCCCATTCTGCAAGAATGCAAGTTCCTCAAGGGAAGAGAGCAATGATGTATGCATGATAGTCTAGTAACTGGGGGAAGTGCTTGGGAGAGGGAAGAGTTCAAGGTCCGGTGTCCAAGACAAGTTATTCATTTCTCAAAGAGCAGAAATAACCTTGTGAAATCTTGCCATTCTTTTCCCAGTTATCAAATGCCACCTCTTATGTGCAGCAACCCACAGCCAGTGAACAACCTTCTGATCTGTTTCATTCTTTCAGCTCCTCAGCTCAAAGCAGAACAGTGGGAGCGTGTCTGGCTGCGAATCAGCTACCTGAGAGTCCCTGCTCATTGATATTTTCAAAAATTTATTTATTCCTCTCTTAGCCATTTCCAGCAAGTGTGCTGCCCAGACGGGAAGCCTTCCTCCGTGGTTGCCAGAATCCAAAGTGAAGCGTGTGTGTGTGGAGGGGAGTGTTGGAACGCTGTGTTTTACTTTTCTAAAATTGCTTCGTGTCACATGTTTGCCTCATAAGTATCCTCTCTCGTTGACTGCCGATGCTGCTCTGCAACGATGAAAAAGCACATTAGTTAGATGTGTCTGAGCTGGGTAAAATGAACATTCTTGACATTAGAGTCTTTAGAGTTAACTATCCTATTGGGATAATTGGCTAATTCCACACTTCTTCTTACTGTTATTATTTGAGGTTGTTTGTAAGCCCAGGAGTACAACACAGCATGGTTTACGTGCGCTTCATGTTTAGAATATTGTCTTAATAACCATAAGCACTGGAAACTTAATTTTTGTTAATGAAACGTCAGACTGTAGAGCACAGTCTGAGCTCCAGCATGTGGTAGCATTTCAGACCAAAATCATGGCATCGGAGTTGCAGAATATGCAGTGCATATTTGAGATGTCAAATGTGCTTGTATTGAAAATTCAAAGCTTCCTGCCCAGTGGGTAGCTTTCACTCAGCTGGATACAGGATCTGAAGAAAATTTGCCTTTTTCAACAAGTAAAAAGAAGCATACATCTGAGACCGTTTCATTTGTCTTCCTTTCCAAGGAAACGAGCTGCCTGCAAATCAGTGAATGGGTCCCATAAGTACAAAGGAAACTCCAAAGATGTCAAGCCTCCTGACCTTTGGATCCATCACGAACGACTGGAGCTAAAACCCATTGATAAATCTCCAGATCCCAATCCAATCATGACAGATACCCCAATCCCTCGCAACTCCCAGGACATCACCCCCGTTGACAATTCCATGGATAGCAATATCCATCAAAGGCGGAATTCCTACAGAGGTGAGCAATCAGCGAGTACTTTGATCCTGGTGTTTAAAATTAAATACATTTTACTGTATCTGGCAAAAATCACTTTTCTGACATACTATTCACTTACAGTAATCTTTTTTTTTTCCTTATTTTCTAAATAGTATGTCTGTTTTGTGTTTGGTTCATAGAGAGATATATATTTTAGCGAGACGCTTGAGTGCCCAAATCATCATTTTCCCTTGATAAATAACAATTAGTAATCAGAAGATCAGGTAACAAATCTCATGTTAACCTGTTGAGAGAAGTGTGTGACAGATTATTTCAGTGGTCAAACACACAATCAAGTTAATGGTGCTTTAATCAGTTACCCAAATCTCAGAGATGCGCAGTGAGTTTTTCACTTGGTGAGTAGTAACTTGTTGATCCAGCACATCTCATTCGGACTCTTTCTGCTGCCAGTCATTGCCAAGAGCTGCATTTCCAGAGGTTTGTGTTTGCCTGGTGGCCTGGAAAGTTTCTCCAGTGCCAAATAGTCTTTACCCTAACTGTCCTCCTCTTTTCCACCTTCTAGTGGAGAAAGATGAAAGAACTGTTTTTATCAATTATGAGTCAAAGAACTGCTTACAAACAAGACAGCCCTCTTAAGTACTCTAAGGTACTTAAAGAGGAGGACTGAAATCGCCTGATGTGGTATCACAGAAGTCTTGCTGCCATAGTAAATAACCTTCAGTATTCTTCCTTCAGGGCACGAGTCAGAGGATAGCATGTCCACACTGGCAGGAAGAAGGGGGATGAGGCCCAAGATGATGATGCCTTTTGATTCTCAGCCACCTCAGCGTAAGTCAACAGCCCATCCACCCTGGCTTGGAATCAGGAGCACGTGAACAAGCCATGTTGATCCTGCATGCACGGGTGCACACTTTCACTCACTGTCTTCCTGCCTACTTCTCCCTAAGTAGTTCTGTCCTATCTGCAATGGAAACAGTTCAAAGGGAGCTATACTGAATCCCTCATCCTGAATGCAGATTTGGATCAAACTACAAAGGAAAACTAAACAGCTATATTTGAGTGAGGAGTAGGAGTGCTGCAGGAGTGGGGATGAGTTAGGAATGCAGTCCAGCAGTCTGTCTGTCCCCGTCTGCAGCAGGGGCAGTTGCGGGTGCTTTTCAGGAAGAACGTGTGAGCCGGGCCACTTCTGTAGTCCATTCCCCTTGTGCTCCCCCAGTGTCTACAACTGTAGGAATGGTAGAGGGTAATCACTTTTGCCTAGGCTTTTGTTATCCGTTTGTTGACCTGTTGTTCATGAATACATCGAATCCCTTTCTGAATTTGCTGGTGCTGTCTGCTTCTGCTCCCCTGTGGTGGCAAGTTCCAGAAGTTCACTACCCGCTGTGTAATATCCTTCTTTCTACAGTCTGTTTTTAACCAACCTCCTACTAGTTTCATCGAGTGACTCCTCATTCTAGTCCTTCAGGATTTGGTGAAGAGCATTCTGCATTCACCTTATCTGCTGCCTTCCTGAGTTGGTAAATCTCGGTGAGATTCTTCTCCACCCTCAGCCTTCTGCTCCCCAGACCCAACAGTCAGAGCATTTTTAGTCTCTTTGCAATAAGGCAGCTACTCTGTCCCCTTGATCACTTCAGCTGCCATTCTCAGTACCTTCTCTCACTTCACTACATGCCTTCTTGAGATGCAGAGAGGCCAGAGTTCATGCAGTGCCAAGATCTTAAATGGCAGGAAGAATGTCCTCTGTCCAGTTCTCAATACCCTCCTTGTTGAATGACTTACTACATTTGGTTGGCTTCTTGGCTGCCATGGCATATGGAGCTTATGATATCAGAGATTTGTCAACCGTGACTCCAAGAACTCTTTGCTGAGTTGTAACTGCCACCTCTTGAGTTTAGCATCATGTAAGTATAGTTTAGATTATTTTTCCCTCAGTGCACTGCTGTCCGTTGAAGCTATACGAAAGTTCGCCTGCCATCTTTTTGCCCACTTGCTTAGTCTTGTGAGGTCTTTCTGGAGCCCCTTGCCATCAACACAGCATTCAACTACCCCATATACCTTAGTGTTATCTACAAACTTGAAGATTTCTGTGATCGCTCCTTTGTGTGGGTCATTGAGAAAGATACTGATTAAAACTAGTCCCAGCGCTGATTCCTGGGAGATCTCCTGATGATCTTCTCCGTCTTGAAAATTGATCATTAAGCCCTGCCCTTTGCTCCCTGTCCTTTAACCAGCTTTCAGTCCTTAAAAGAGCTCTCCCTCCAACATCCACTTCGTTTCTTTAATAAATGTTGCTGTGCACCCTTGTCAGAAGCTTTTTGAAAATCGAGATGTACTGTATCCACCGATTCCCTCTGTTGACGTCTCTACTGGCACGGTCTTGAAACTCTGGCAGGTTAGTGAAGCAGCATTTCCTTTCACAGAAGCCCTGCTTGCTCTGAATTACCATGTTTACCAATGTCTACAGTGATCTTGCTCATACACTGAAATGCAAGACATACCTGCTGTCCCCACTGCATGGACAGCTGAGCTATTTGTGAGACAGTCCTTGACTTGCTGCAGTTCACAGCTCACCATCATAAGGCAAACCAAAATCAGTTTGGGTTTATGTAAAACACTGTAGTGGCTCAGGAGCAGCTTCAGAAGCAACTCAGCTGTCCATCCAGTAGGACAGCGTTAGAGATCTGGGGCAATATATCACCACATGTCCTGTTCTAAGACATTTGTGAGCCAGACCTTGTATTTACTCAGCAGACAAAATGGTTCCAAAGGAGTAACGCTGCTCGTTTTCTGGAAAGGATGCCAAAAGCTTGCAGTACTTAGAGTAGTTTTGCTCCACGATTTATCTATTGCACTGATTTATTGGAATGCTAAGGAGATAAATTGCTGAAGGAGGCTGAGGTTTTGTGAGCCTGGTGGACCAAACTTTCAAATGTGGAGAATGTCTGGTTTGTTATTCCTTATCTGTGTGTTTTCCATACCCTATTGATTAGTGATAAGTAATTCCATAATTATTATTATAGAATATTTAAGAATTAAACAATAACCTTAGTTTTCAAATGATGACTCTGAGATGAGAAAGGACTTTGCTAAACCATGGAAGCTTTAGACTTCCATGAGCACGTGTTCATGTTCAGCCACGTAGCCAGGTAATTGCTACGACCAGCCGAGAACCAAGCGTTCTTCTGTTCCATGAAATAATTTTGGGCCAGTGCGTTTTGTTTCAACTTTTTATCTTTTTGCTTTCTTTATGTACTTGAAGTAAGCGCTTGGTTTTCTTGGCCTCTGTGTGCTTTTTCAAGTAGCCTGATGACCTGATTAGTAGCTCAGTTTGTGAATTTGCTGCCGTTTGCTTGTTTTACTACTTTTTTACAAGAATAACATTTTTTGCCTTGGTTTTAAAGTAGTCTGATATTCCTTGTTTTATTACAGTTTCACATGTATTAGGAAAGAGCGGAGGAGACGACATTTTTACTCTGATTAGTTACTTGGAAGGTTTGTCAGCTGTCAAATACAGGTGTCTCAACAAGGGACATTGTAGTTATTGGATTCTGCTGCTTTCCTGTCCAGCACCAGGTGCTGGAACGTCAGGAGTTCAGACTTGCGCGACCCCTTAATGAATTTAGACTACAGTGACCCTTCCTTTGCACCCTTCTGATAGCATAAGTGTTTTTTTCTCCCAACGGGATTCAGTCCTTCTGCAGAAGATAAACACATATAGGAGCCAATGCTGGAGTGTGCTGAGTATGCTGCATACCGCACAGAAATTGCTTAGCAAAGTGCCGCTTATGCTAAGTTAATTCAGTGAAAAGGACGTTCGGCAGCTTTTCTGATCAGTCCCACAGAGGATGAAAGATGTATGATTGACACAGGTGATAAATATAGTGGTAGTACTTCTGTGGCAGTAGCATATTCCAGTTCCACCTATTGATGGTTTTCAGGCTGATGTGATTATGCTGGCAAAAATAGTTGTGAGTTTTCCTTGCAGCAGTGGACCCAGCTTTGACATCCTTTTGAGATACCAACCCTGCTGTGTTTGCTTGAAAAGCATATTTATTTTCTCCCTTTTTATTAGGTTCCCTTGCCCAGAAAGAAAGAACATAGTGGCTAGGTGTGACAGGTTAGCACGATGCACTAAATGTCAATAAGGATATGTAAGGTCTTCTGGTACCTTAGGGCTTGTGATTGTTTCTGTGACTTTGTCTTTTTATCCTGTTCAGCAAAAGTCTGAGAGAGCTTCCAACTGTAGGTTTCTATATTATAGTAAGTGGAAACATTAATGGAATGTTTTTAGATATGGTTTTCGCATTGCAGTAATGTTGGTTGCATTGTGCATAACCCTGCAGAGACATTCTGAGCTCATGTTTTGATTTTTCTCGAGAGAATACAGAAAAACTAGTTTAATATTTGCTGCAATATTCCAGAAATAGTCTTCCTCTTTAAAGAGGAAAGAAAGCTGTGTCTATGCTGAGAACAAAGAGGGAGTAAAGAAAACATGATCATCACAGCGTAGGCACTTTTGCATAAGAAAATTCCTAGAATCCTGCTGTTTTTTAGAAAACTTTGGTATATTTCTTTCCTGAACTGGTGTATCCATTGCCTGGATTTACTAGACCCATTTGAAAATTGCCCGCTCCCTAAATATTCCCAAGCTGACTCTTGGTCCAGCAGATGATTGGAGCAGCAGCTGCACAGAAAACTGACCCTCCAGTGCCTGTGTCCCTTTCTCAGCCAGCACCACACATGGCAGGACCGTTTAGTACGTTTAAGCCCTTGGCTGCAGATACCTTTCTGCTGTTTTTATTTCCACTTTAGCTTTCAAATCTAGTTTTTTCTCTCTTAAATAACTGGGATAACTTACTAGGATTAATTTTAGTATGTACCAATTTACAATACAACAGGAATGCTGGGTGCCTGGTTAGTCCATTCCCTTTGACAACTGGAAAACAACAATTCTGGGAAGATATTCGAAAGCATAGAGCTTTTTATTTCTAAATACAGCACATTTCTCTTTATCTGGTTCTTCATATGAACGTTTTGCTTCCTTGAAATTAAACTCTGCACTGTGATCTTTGTTATGAATATATGATGTGGTATAATGTTATAATGTGCTGATTTTTGACCCGTAAGGCTATATGTGATTTAGGCCTGATGACCCAGCTTGTTAATAACAAAATGCAGCACATATGCAGGGTATTTGGATTGTGCTTGCAGAAAAGTCTAGGCAGTCTTTTGTATTAACATGCATTATATTGGATAATGATTGAAATACCGCTGAAGAATAGCTGTAGGCTAGTGGTTTCTACAAATGGAAGAAATTAAAAAGTTTACACCCATAAAATCTTATGCCTTAAAATCTGAACGCCTCTTACCTTGCTGACATGTAGGTCAGCTCCTGGTTTCTCTGATGACCGTTGTCTCTGCCAGAATTTCTCATCTCCGAGCTCTTGTGGTTTATTCCTCCGTTTGCCAGTTCCCTGGGAGACGAAGTGGCATTTTAATCTTGCTTGAAGCGCTTAGTGAGAGATTCTGACTTTTCACTGTAACCCTTCCCTTGACAGCCATCTTACGAGGCTGTACCATGTAGACCTGAGTGCTCTGTGTTAGAGTTTAGTTCCTCTTCATTTTGGGGAGTTTGATAACAGGGTTAGCTTTCCGTTGAAGTAGCTTAATGGGAGAGAGAGAGATTGGCTATTGCCAGTAGCTGAAAACCTTTAAGTCTGTTGCCTCCGCTGATCAATTTATGAACTCTCTCCTGCTGATGGACTGCTTTTCAAGAAAGGAGGATTCATGCTTGATTAGTCAACCTTTGAGTTCAAACTGCATGCATCAAGGCAAGGAGTCTTAACTGGCCTCACCACTTAAAATTTGTGTAGCACGTCATTCTTAGAAAACAACTTTCAAAGGCAGCACACCTGGGGAGTTTTTAGAAAAGGTTCAAAAACATAACCAACCACAACCTTATTTTTCTTTATGGCGCTAGTGGTAGCACTGACCTTGAGCGTTTCCCTCCTGCTTTCTGGGTTGAGACGCTTTCTTTTGGATCATTTGAAACAATCCAGTATTTGAGTCTGCCATAAGAACTGAATCCTGTGCGTGCTCCTCCTCCCAGCTGGGGAGCAGCCAGAGCTTGTTTTGCTATTATTACCGCAAGAGGGCGAGGGCAAAGGATGATTTACGCTAAGTAAGAAATTCATGTTCTCGAGCAGGAAAACAAAGACAGTAAAAGAAGATAAGAAAAAAAAAAAAAGAAAAGAGGCTTTTGGTTTGCGTGTACTGGAGGAGAGCTTTTCTAATTCTGTACAGGGAGAACGAACAGAGCTTTTGGTGTCTTACCCAACACTTATCATCTGTCTTGCAGTATTTAACTAACCAAAGATGCCACATTTGGTTACAGTGTTGAGAAATTCAGTGACAGCCTGAAATGATTTTGGAGTTTGAGCTCATAGGTCTCCTGTATTAGGTCCGGCATTTATAGCACAGTGGGAAATAATGGAAGTTCTGGTGGGAACAGAATTTCGTTTTTCTCAAGCGTAACAGAAAGCTCTTGGAAGACACATCCAAGCGAGAGGCGCTTTCTGCACGGGAAAAAATGTAGAGCTCTGCCTCTTTTGTGGGTTTTGTTTCTTGGCATGAAGGCAGCTAAAGACACGGCTCCTGGAACAGTGGGAAAATTGGTGATAACGCATGTTATCTTGGTATCGTTGTGAATCTGCCGAGAGGCTGGCTCCCCTGTCCGGTGGCTTTGTGGGAGAAGGGAGGGATATGGTGCATTTCAGTACATGTGCATGCTTGTCTGTACGTTAAGCATTTTTCTGTCTTATATTCATTCACAGCTGTGATTAGTGCTCATCCCATCCATTCACTCGATAACCCTCACCATCATTTCCACTCCGGCAGCCTCGCTTCTCCAACCCGCAGCTATCTCCATCACCAGGTCAACCCGTGGCCGATTGGCACATCCTTGTCCCATTCAGACAGGGCCAATTCCACAGGTGAGATAAAAATGATCAGGTAGATTTTGATTGTAATGGAACAATGAGTGAAACATGTAGAAATCAAAGCCTGAAAGATGCAGATGAGTTTAACTCGGTCGGGCTCCTTTGTGGTGTTATCCCAGGGAATGCGGAATCTCCCAACAGTTACTTTTCTTCCTTTCTGAGGTTATGACTCTTCTTGTGCTGAATAAAAATAAGATTGACATGACTGAGGTTTTTACATAGCAGCTGTACTTCAACTAGCGCTTTGTATATCTTCTGCAGTAGCGTGAGTCACAGCATTTTCTGGTTCATTGCCAATAAAAGATCAGGGATGCAATGGGAAAAACATTTTATTTCTTTCCATGAAAGGCAGAGGGATGGGTTTAAGTACAAACAACATCCCTGACACTTAGGTTGAGTTTTTCCCCAAAGCATTTCTTGCATAGGTCAGACATTGATCCTTGGGATATGTGGTCCTGATCGTACTTTATACGCACTGATTCCGATAGGAAGATTCCTCATTTCAACGCCTTTGGCCCGGGAGTGTGAAACTTCAGTTTACAGCTAATTAAAACTCGCCTGCTCATTTAATATGATAATAACTTTCCTCATTAGCTGTGTTTAACAGCAAGAAAGGACAAAAGTCAGGCCTATGCTGTTGAGAGCTAATGTTAGTTAGTCTTTCTGAAAGCACACAAAAAACTTGCTGTTTTTATGCAGTGTTTTCAGGCTTTCAGTCAAGGGAACAATCGCTCGCAATAGTTTCTGTCATGTAGCCAGTGCCTTGAAAAATTCTGAAGCACCAGCGCTGGAATCACAAATAGTTAATATCTTGAGATGAAAGGAGTTCTGGGCTTCTCTAGTAGAAGGGCTGAATTTTAATTAAGCCAGAGTTGTTTCCAGGAATATCTCAGCTGTTGATAGTCAAAGCATAAAACAATCTGTGAGGCTGCAAATATACAGGCAGACAACGTGTTAGAGGCAGAGGTTTCCCGTGTTCTGTTTATACTGCTGAAGTAATTACAGATGTGACAGCTCTTGCAGTCCAGATCTTTGCTGGATGTGGTCTGAGTAGGATTGCAGTGCTGCACATGCAAGATACTGTGCCGTTGTCCTCCTAGAGCAGGGTGGAGCATGCTGCAGCCAAACAAAGCTGGTGATTTCCTTTTCGCTTTCAGCAAATAAAGGGATTTCAAGCCTGTCTCAAAAATTTTTGGCTCTTTTGTGTGCACTACAGTGACGTATGCTTAATGCATACCTATTTTAAGGGTTTCAATACTTTGAACTACTCAAGTGGGAAATGAGAGTGAAGATTTGTGTTCCATGCTGTTCTTAGGAGGCCAAGGCTGTTAACTCCATCTTCTTACATGTAGCTGTTGCAATGCAAAACTGTTGTTTTTGTATTAGACCTGTGTGCTCTAGTGAACTCTGATGCGAGACTGGCTTCCACGTGCCACATATTGCTAAATGCTTCGTTTTGCTGAGACGCAGTAATAGGCAGAGATAAAAGGAAGAAAATCGAAGGGCGTGCAAGTAACATTAGATCAACTTTGGGCGTATCGTTTCTGTGATTATTCAGAGTCCCTCCTGGAACAATGAAAAAAATGTAAATTATTGATGAGCATATTTTAGAAACATGGTAATCCTTAGATCAGTATCATGGCCTTGGGCAGCTGCTCAGTTATGAGATATTTTTCTTTCTCTTTTTTTTTTTTTCTTCTGTGACTCAAAAAGAGCTGCAGAAAAATTATGTCTTATAATCAGAGGATTTAAAAAAAAAATCTGATCACTGTGGACTCATTTAGTGCTCAAGCTTATTTTGTTATTGGAGAGCTGTGGCCATTTCACCTTAAAATAGGACAGTTGCATGGAATTGGTGTTGTTTGCTACAGAAAGAGCTGATATATTAATTAATTTCTTAGCTTTTGAGAGCAATCTTGGAAAAGGTGCTTGTAAACACTACTGCCTTGCTTCCATCTGCCCAAACAGAAAATTTCCGTTAAAGAAAATAAGCCACGTTTTTTGCTCGTCTGTTGTAGAATCTGTTCGAAATACACCTAGCACAGACACCATGCCAGCTTCCTCGTCTCAGACGTGCGCTGACCATCAGGAGGCAGAAAGCGCCACAGGAGCTTATCTGGCGAACGCTCAAGAGGAGGACTCGGCTCAGAACCTCCCTACCGCACACGTCCGTCCTTCTCACCCGCTGAAGAGCTTCGCAGTGCCCGCAGTCCCACCAGCTGGTCCCACGTATGATCCCGCGTTGCCAAGCACACCGTTACTGACTCAGCAAGGTGAGTGGGGGATAACTGGCAAGAGAGACTTGCCAGAAAGAGAAAGGAGGAGATTTAGGAAGAAAATGAGAAAAGCTCCTTCTGGGATGACAGAGCTGGGCATCAAAAGAAATATGTCAGAGGCTGGACTGAATTTCACTGGTATAACTTGCAAGGGCCTTTTATTTTGAGTACGTAGATAAACTAGAGGAAAATTCAAATTCAGCGTTGTATAATTTGAAGCTTTCATTTCTCCTTATTCTAATAGAACCCCTTTTATTCTCCCACTTCGAAGAGCTTTCTGAAATAGGCAGGAGAACCAATTAACTGAGGCATGACTATATAACAATTTATTTTAAGCTCCTAACCATCCAGTTCACTCGGTGAAGACTGCGTCGATTGGGACTTTAGGAAGAACTCGACCTCCTATGCCAGTGGTAGTTCCTAGTGCCCCTGACGTGCAGGAGACCACCAGGATGCTCGAGGACTCGGAAAGCGTAGGTACACTTGCACTGCCAGTGGCTTGCTTTGGCAGTGCTTATCAAACTGTGATGAGTCTCTGTTCATACCATAGTTGTAAACTTCAGTGATGTCTGCACTGAGACTTTCAAAGGCAGACGAGCATTAGGTTTCTGACTTCCACCAACTGCCATTGCCTGTTGACCCTTATAAAAAATCATCTAGTGCAAATTCCTGCTACACAAGTCAGTAAATTCAGGGAATAAGTAAGTACTTACATGTAAGCATTAGTAGTGCTTTCTAAATCCAAAAAATCACCTGTGAGCATACCTCTAGCCTTAATTACACAACACTGAACAGATGCATTGTTTCCATCCATTCCAGTCCACAAGACCCAGAGAGTCAAAACTGATAAACCTTCATCAACATTTCGGCTATCCTCAGGCCACCTGAACAGAGTAATGTTCTCTAAGATTGCCTTTACTCTTGAGGAAGAGCGCGTCTTCGCTTGCAGAGCTGAAGGCCTCCACCCGTACTCTTTGCTCTTCTGTACAGCTCAAGTGAGCTTTCATGCTCACTTGGAGATAGATCATCACCCCAAATATATATTGTTTTTTGATACTTAACTGAAAGTATCCTGACTTTCTAGGAAAGGTTGAGCTGCTTTGGAAATCAGACAGCTTTTCAGAAGTCAGGATGTTTTGGGTATCAGGCGCTGGTTTCCTTTGAAATTGTAGGAGTTACTTTATATAACAATTATATATATATTAGTGTCAGAGGAAATGCTTATTTTGAATGAATGTTTTTCTTGTTTCCTTGTTCTCCTTTCCCTTTGTCACGTTGTTGTTGTCTCTAGTTCACCCCCTTGATTTTATTCCTGCATGCGGTGTTACGGAGACTATGTATGCATGCTTGATTTGGTGCACTTTTGCCCTTCTGTCTCTTCATCACTCTTATGTATGTCATTCATTTTTTCTCTCGTCAGTACAGAACATGATTCATAGGGACTTTAAGACATTAATGAACAGAATTCAGTAAGGATTTATTGCTAATAGGTTTTACCTACTAAAATACATTTGATAAAGATCATGTAGCGTAATAGATTTCTCTGAGCATTTTAACTAATACTTTATCGTCATTAATAAATTAGTACAGTATAAAATCAGCACAGTACACTCTCTATACTTGTTAAATGAGGAGTTTTGAAAAGTGATTAGAATTAGAAAATCATTTGAATTAGTTTTATGAGAGCCTGTAGGAGTGAGTCTGATTTCACGTTTACTTCCAGCTCACTGATTTTTATCATTGTTGATAGTTGGCAAACAACCGTGTTGGCCGTCGGATAGAGAGGACTTTCCTGGTACAAAGCACTCTAGATTGCTAGGTAAACTAAAAGTGGCTACAGCTTCATTTCTGTCTAAGTGAAAGCAAAGTTTTGTAAGAAACAAAGGAGGTGAGATTACACTGTCAGGTTTGAGGACGCCACTTTGGGGAAGCTCCAGTTCTATAGTACACGGTCAACCAAACAGTAGACAGTAATTATTTAATATTATACTTATTTTTTATAGTATTTATTATATTTATTACTATATTTACATTATAATTGTTTGGTGTATTATTGTATATATACTATATTCGGCTCTAGTCAGAAAGTCTAATAATGCACCTCAGATTTATAGAGCGGGACCTATGAGATAAGAATGCGGGAGTTTTGTCACTTCTGGTTTTGCATTAGCCCAGCTGGAATTGGAATACCGTGTGCAGATCTGGCTTGCTTTCTATGAAAATAACATTGAGAGAGCGAAGAGGGTTTGGAGAAAAGCTCCAGGAATGACTTAAGGGTTGAAAACTACACAGTACAATGAAAGACTTGATCAGCCTAGAAAAGGTTTTGAGGTAAACTGGTTCGTGGTATCTACACACATGCACTGATAATGGAATTAGAATAGTAGTAGTTCAGTATACCAGACAAACAAGACAGTATCTAGAAGATACTAGCTGAAGCTAGAAAATTGCTGCTAGAAATGGAGGATGATCTTTTTAGCAAGCATAAATGATTTTTTTAAAACTATTGCACTGAAGTGATTCCTGACATTTTTTTCAATTAACCTAGGAAGATTTTTCTACAATATCTACTTTATTTAAATTGTTTAAATTGAAAGTGTTGAAGCAGGAATTGATACAAGGAAACCAGATAAGACGATCACGGTCTTACAATCAGGTATTGCAAAAATATCTGCACGTGGGAAAGTTGTTTCAAGTTATTAATTCCTGTAAATCCCTAGAAACCTTGTTCATGTGTCAGGGTCTCTATACACCAGAATCACTGACCATTTCTTCTTAGTCCTTATTCTGTCCCTCTCTAAAGAAAGCAAGTTATCCTGTCAGTAACTAACTCTAAAAAAATTCTCCGACAGAGTTATGAACCAGATGAGCTGACCAAAGAGATGGCCCACCTGGAAGGACTTATGAAGGACCTTAATGCCATCACGACAGCATGACCACCTTCACCAGGACATGACTCCAAATCCAGTTTCACAAGTCTTGGGACTCAGCCTTGAAACACAAGGAATTGTACAGAAAAAAAAAACCAAACAAACAAAAAAAAGAGGGACAGCACATGAGAGCATACACAGAAAGCAACCGAACCAACCAGTGCATTTGTGCTACAGCTGGTCAGAGAGATGACCCTTCTTGTCATCATCCTGCAATGAAGTCATTGCCAAGTTGAATTCTGTTTACCTGCTGAGACCGTGCAGGATGGGACGCATCAGGCTGAAATCTAGCATCCAGACAGAAGGAAGAAAAGTGGACTCTTTTTTTTTTTTTTTTTTTTCTGGTCAGGTTTTGTCTCAGTGGTGTGATTGCCCTGCCTTTTCAGTGTTGGACATTCGCATTTATGTACAATTTTATTTGTGTTTTTATTTTATCTTTTTTTATAAAAAGGAAAAAAATATTGTAATCAAAAAAAAAGAAACTGTTGTTTTCCACAGCCTAGACTGACGTTTGACTGCTTGTTCTATTGTGTATGAAAATTCATTGCCAGCGTGGGTTGTTCTGTTTTTTTATTCTGCGTATAATTACGTCCCCTTCTGGCAGTTAATCCATGGCCTTTTGGGATGCTGCACTGCTATTTGTAAGCTTTTTTTATTATTTTTATATTATAATTATTAAAAGCCTGACTTTCTCCTCTCATCACTGTGAGATTACCAGTCTGTTTGAATTGAAATGTAATTTGAAAGGCTTGTTTGTCGCTTTTTGTGCCGTTTCAATATTTTGAGGGGGAAAAAGTAGATGGGGAAGGGGAGGGGAGCCAGGGGGAGGTTTCGTTATTGTTGTTTTCTTGTCTTTCTATACTGACTTGAAAGACTGAAGAAAATGAGAGCATCTTCTGTAACGTCTTTCCTTGTCACTTCAGCATACTGTGTCTCTGGTTACTGAATTGCAGCGAGAGTCTCATTTAGAAATGTCACAAAAAAAAAAAAAATTTCCCTCTGTAAAGTCGGGTTCCTTATGTTTAGCTGCCACTACAGCTTAGTTTGGCAACACTGCTCTGTTTTGTTGTTGTTTAAGGATCACATCGTGAAACTTTAAGGGGCAAAGCGAGCGCTCGTTCGGCGCGGAGAACTTATCACAGGCAGCAGCGCGCAGCACTTCTCTGCCGGTGGTGCCGAGGGCTGAGCTACCCGCAACAGCCGGCAGCAGCCCGGCCCTCGTCAGCCGCGGCGGTCGTGTCCTGCCTTTGAAAACCCAGCACGTCCACGGGAGCCTTCAGCAGCAGGGCCGACCCCAGTGCAACGTCTCTATGCCGGGCCGTTTCAGCGCCGCTTTGAGAAGAGGCCTTGTCAGCGCGAGGGAATATTCCCGCGAGACATAAGCAAGGCAAAATGTATTTTTTTACACTTTTGAAACCTTTTGAAAGGAAACAGTGTTAGTGACTCGGGTGCTGCTCTGGAAAGGAAGGAAAGTTAGTTAAAAGGGAACTCCTGTACAAGGGGGAAGGAAAATTATTTTCTCCTTGTGTTATTGCTTGGCTCTGCCGTCCTCTATGATGAGGAACGGCATAGAAGGAAGAACTGTATTTTAGTAAAAAAAAAAAAGAAAAAAAACCCCAACTGCCCAAGAAACTCATGTGCATATTTTCATTTTTAAGATGTAAAGGAAACCCAAAACTTACTGACGCTTTCATACGGAGAAGCTGGTCGTCCTGAGAGAGGGGGTACGTTGAAAGCTCAGCGTTAAGGCTGGGGGAAGCGCAGCTGAGAGGCGCTGCAGACGCGGAGCGCTTCTGCCGTGGTCCCCAGCGCCTCTGCTAGAGCCACAGGCAGTACCAGAACGTGTTTAGATTTAAAAAACAAAAACAAACAAACAAAACCCCACCTCCCCTCCCCTTCTTCACTTTTTTTTTTTTTTTTTAATCTATTGGACTCGGCTGGACTCGGCCAATTTCCTTAGACGCCCGTCACTACGGGAAAGGAGAGCCAAGGCATCGTCCCGGCCAGCAACAGGCCTTGGGGTTGTCGTTCTGCTTCCGTCCTTTCCCTCGACTCTTTGCGCTGCCGTTTTTAGCAGACTTGGTGGGTTTATTTATTATTTGAGGGAGGGGAGGGAATCAAATTGGAGCACCATGGGCCACCTAAAAAAAAAAAAAAAAAAATTGATATTTGGACTTTTAACTGATACAATTCAATGCAAAATAAGCTACAGAATATGTATTTAAATCATCAAATACACACCCTGTCCTGAAAGGAAGGGTATATGATTTCCTTTGCCTATTTCTTACCTATACCCAAAGAAATACGATCATACATACACAGTATTCTTAGCTGGTGGGTCTTTGTGAATATTACTTATGTATAACACCATGAATGTTAATATTGTCATTGACTTTGGGGAGGGGAATATTTTTAATGATAAAACAACTGTTCAAAGTTGGTTTTTTAAGGTGAAACTGAAAAAAAAAAACATTTATTCAATTCAGTGTACAATCTGTATTGCACTTTTTCACATTTTAATGCTACGTTTTCTTACATATCCTGTGATTTTAAATTTGGAACATTGTGTATCCTTGTAGTGTCATAGTCGAGCTGATAAGCGGCAGCTTCCCTCAGAGCTGTTTGGGGAAAAAAAGCAAACCTGTATATTGTTTTATGATTCTCATGTAGGATAATTTTGAGGACTGCTGTAGATGTCTACCTTTCTGTACAATTTTTTTGCTTTTCTGTAGTATTTGCTGTATACTCTATGGCTTTTTTTAATAATTTCATGTTTATTATTTTGTATTGGACATCCAATACACTTTTTTTAATCCAATCAAATTCTGGTCTGCTTGGAGAGTTTGTTCTCTTTTTAATTATTCCTATACCTTTTTTTTTGGTTGTAGTTTGGCAGGTTGCCTCCTTCTGGAGAAAGGAGAGGACCAGGACCCTTGGTCCCTCCGTCCATGCCCACACAATAGCAGCAGTATCACCATCTAACAAGCAAGCATCACGCAGGAAGGCTTGCAGATCAGTGAAAGCGCCTTTCAGGGACTACCCTTAGTAAAGCAGTAAGTCACAGAAAAGTAATAATTCTTTGCATTTGGCACCTTCTGGCCCCAGGGTTCAAAGCGCTGTAATTGCTCTCCTCATGCTTGCTCCAGTCTCATTATCTTAAATACTGGAGACGCACGCTGATGAACAGCGAGTCCCCTCGCTGCGAGCCAGCAAGTGCCCAGCTACAAGGGTCGCGTGGGCTTTGAGGCGTT